GCTGATCAGGGAACTTGACATCTTGTTTTGATCACATTGAAGGGAGTGGTGAGATATGCACTAAATGCTACTTGAACAGTTGCGTATGAATTTTTTCTTCCCCTAGCCAGTCAAATACTCAAGCCTTCATAAGAACCTGCATGGTGCAGATAATAATCATAATTTTGAAGAAATAAGAATCAGAAGTTATAAAGGAAAGAGCAACAGATAAAGACAACTAAATCATTTAGAGGCCAAAATCCTAACTGCTTATGATTCATCAATGATCAAAAGACGGTATGTCTGAACTTTCCTTGCTGGGACAAAATAAAACAATAAACTAGCGTGGTGAATGTGTGTTAAGAAGTCACAATCCTATTTGAAAAAAATTTAGTCATTTGGAGTTGCAATCCTATTTTCCCAGTGGTACAAAGCAAATGACGTAAAGGCAAAAATAAAACAGTGAGACATACAAACTATCACTATTCTATACACCTACCATTAGACCAGCCAAATCTACATCCCTTGCAGTGCTGACCACTATCTGCCTAATGAAAGAAAAAATAAATCCACAATTACGCCACAACAATATGATCATAAGTCATATGAGTGCATATGCCTGCCTTTCGGTCAATGTTGTGTGAGGGTGCATACATGGATGGGGCCACAAGCAACAGCTCCAGTATTTTATTGTGAATATTAGACTCACGGTGAAACTAAATTGCACGTAGTACAACCTCAAACTAAGTCAGTACTTTTTCTTTTTTGGTAAGAAGCACATAATTTATTAATGATAAAAGAGTTAGAAAGGGGATGAAGGCGATATCCACCTAAAATCCTGTTAACATCCTCAACCCCAAACACAAAGTACTATATAATCAAACTAACTACTGTAACCAAAAAATATATATATATTCAACCTAACTGTGTGGAGGACACATAACAGTCTTCATGACTCTTAATTGCCTGATCGCAATCATAATGTAAAATAGAGAGAGGAGGGAAGCAGGAGGAGGGGATACCATACATTTGGATACCAGGCTTCAAAGCTAAGCTATAGAAAGACTATACCAAGAAAATGAAATGCCATATCCAATGCTTGAAAACTTACTTTCTTACAAAGAATCTCTATGAAGTTCAATGCCATCCATATGATTACATACCAAAAAAGTGAGCTTTACCCACTAGCCATGGATGTTACATCTATAACATGTTTACTCTATTATCATCCTGACTTGCACAAGGAAGAGATTGGCTCCAAAATTCCCCAGCTCCCCCGAGCAACTCCCTCCAAACGACATTGACAGGCTAAAAAATCAATCATGGAATCCCTACAAGTCCTTAAATATTACACAATTCTACTATGAGACAAAAAACGCATAACCAGACAATTTTATACACATTGGCATATACAAATATACATTCACTAAACATCAAAAACCTTAATTTCTTCTCTCCCAACAATATTTTTCCATAAAGAAACATAATTTTTGCGTTTGATTTCTATCTTTGTGTGAATTGGTTCTTTACAATATTGCAAAAAAGGGTTTCCGGCTGCTTCAAATTCCAAACATGTGTAGTCAATGGTTGCATTTTTCTACAAGATTAAAACTTTATTCTTTCAATTCAACTGCTTGACGTCAGAATCAAAATTTTCTTTTTGCTTTATGAAATTCTGGCTATTTATATGAATTGGGAATGTAACTGGAATTCCAAACAAAAAGACAACGAATTGGTGGGGTTGTGGTCAAATGGGATCAGAGTTGAAAATGTGTGAGCTCCCATCACTCCCATGGTTCTTCTTGCTTGTTGCCATTTGAGAGGAGCGAGGACGGAGAAAGCCTAGCCTTTTCTCCTGCCGTCGATCACATCTCTCCCATATCTATCTTGGTCAGATCGTTTCGTCGAACGGTAATCTGACTCTGGGGATGATTTTTAATCGTTGGATTTGATGTGGAGAGGCAAACACATGTCGATCGAAAACTTTTACGACATGTTGCTAAATTGAAAAGTCAATACTACCCTTAAGGTAGGGCCAAAACAACAACATGGAACAAAATTACCAATCAGCAGGATGTGACGATATGACCCAACTAAAATAAGATCAATGGCATGTTTACTAATCCGTAATTGAATTAGATAGAATTCAATTCTTGATGAGAATTTCAATTCCTGATCCGTAATTGAATTAGATACAATTCAATTCTTGATGAGAATTTCAATTCCTAATTAGTAAACACACCATAAAAGTCAATTTGGCCAAGGAGGGTTGGTGGAGTTGGTAAGGATCGTTCTCTTTGCTATCAAGGTCTAGGTTCGAGTCCCTCTGTCAAATAAATAAACATTATTAAGTAACATTATCTAATATAATTTTTTGATTCGCCTCCTCTTGTATGTTAGAATAATTTACAATATGGCTTTGTTAAAAAAATGTATAAATAAAAGGTTTTTTTGTTTCATTTTTTCTTTTTGTCTTCTCCCTTTGATTGCCACTGCAGGGCAGAAAGAGTGTTGGTGGAGTTGGTAAGAATCGTTCTCTTTGCTATCAAGGTCTAGGTTCAAGTCCCTCTGTCAAATAAATAAACATTATTAAGTAACATTATCTAATATAATTTTTTGATTCGCCTCCTCTTGTATGTTAGAATAATTTACAATATGGCTTTGTTAAAAAAATGTATAAATAAAAGGTTTTTTTGTTTCATTTTTTCTTTTTGTCTTCTCCCTTTGATTGCCACTGCAGGGCAGATCCAAATGTAAATTGAAATCGCCATCGATGCATGATCGAAACTTGAGTGTAGGAAAAATCCAAACTTTGTTTTGAAGGTTAATTAGTGGTGCATTAACATTTGAGAGAGAGAGAGAGAGAGAGAGAGAATGAAAAATAAAGATGAGCGAGGTGTAATTAGATCACGTTCTGAACCGGCTTTGAATCCCAATCGACTCAAAGACAAATCTTTGGCTCCCTCTACCTCTACCTCACTTGCCGCCAATTATCGCAATATTGATGCATCCTATGATCAGGGTCAGTTTCACTTTCAATGCATAATAACATGCATTTATTATATGATAAACTTCATAACAATCCATCATATTATCATATATAATAATAATTATTATTATTTTCCTAATACTGGGTTTTGCTGTAATTCATATGTATAATGTTACGTTATGATATGATGTTTTTTGTTTTCGCACAATGTTATGATGTTTTTACACAAAGTTACTTGCTCTTCTACTCTGTCTTTTGATTTGTGAGGCCTGTTATTGAAGTTATTCGACTTCCTCGTATGTTTTATCCAAGCAGTTTGAAACTTGTTTGGACAGACTAATTCATGTATATATCTTGAAGAGGTTCTGTATTTGGTGTCAAGCTATTGACTTTTCTCATCTAAGTGATCATGCTGCCAAAAAATCTTTTGTTGAAATAGAGTTATCTCTCTAGCCCATCTTAGTTTAACAATTTTGGTTCTCATTTTGATCATATGAAGGTTACATTCTTGCTGAATATATTTATAGTTTTCTTTTCTTTATTGTGTGGCTTTCAGTTAGTTTTTTCTTTCTTTATTGTGCAGGGGAATCAGCTGAAACAAGTTGCAAAGGTTCAGATGTTAGATGCCTTGATGATGAAGATGCATCTTGGATATCATGGTTCTGCAATCAGAAAGGGAACGAATTCTTTTGTGAAGTGGACGACGACTACATCCTGGATGACTTCAACCGTTCTGGTTTAAGAAATCAAGTCCCATTCTATGATTATGCACTGGACTTAATTTTGGATGTTGAGTCTTCCAATGGTAAGATATTTGCCTATCTGCAATATGAAATCAATAACTTCTTATGTAACCTGTAAGAAATGCTGTTTGAACATGAATAATAATTTGTTCTCCATTGGGATCAACAACAGATGGTACTTTAACTGATGATGAACAGAACAATGTGATCGAATCCTCGGCAGAGATGCTCTATGGTTTAATTCATGGCAGATACATAGCTACTAACAAAGGATTGTCTGCAATGGTAAGGTGTTTAACAATGCAACTTTATATGGTTTTTCATGATGTTGGATTTCAGGCTTCCTAATGCAACAGTGTGCAATTCAGTTGGAGAAGTACAGGAACTATGACTTTGGCAGATGTCCAAGAATGCACTGCAATAAACAACGATGTCTGCCTGTTGGCCAGTCAGACATCCCAAGGTTAAGTACTGTCAAAATCTACTGTCCCAAGTGTGAAGACATTTATGCCCCACAATCCAGACACCAAGATCGTATCCTTGTAATAAAATATTTATGACTTTTGCAAATGACTTCAGTTATGTTTTGTTGAACAGCAGTTTTTCAATGTTTCCTTGACAAACTCTTAGAAATTGATGGAGCATATTTTGGAACCACATTTCCGCACCTTTTTTTCTTGACCTACGGCCATCTTAAACCGCAGAAGGCGAGTCAGAATTATGTTCGGAGAATATATGGCTTCAAAGTCCACAAGGAGGAATGATCAATCTTTTAGCTGCAAAGGTGCTCCTCTTGATGAAGAAAGGTAAAGGGGTCCAAGCAGTGTTGTTTCCCCTTGTAAGGAAAAAAAAACACAGGGCAGTTCCCAAAAGCCCTGTTTTCATTGTACGTACCGGGTTGTTCATAATGGTTATTTAACTTGTTTAGGTTGAGCACCATGATTCTTTGGCAGTTTTAAGTGGAAAAGTTCATATTCTTTCGCGTCATGATCGATATGTGGATGGTGGCCATTTACTTTCTGAATAGAAAATTTGAAGTGTGTCATGGGGCTTTCCAAAGAAGCGTACCTTCTTTCAAATTTCATGCTTATAAAAGCTGAAGAGCAACCTCAGCCCTACTTATAGTGAGTTTTTTTAATTTTAACTTTTCTAGTTTTACCACCGCTCTGCCTTTCTAGCAGATAAAAAGCTCATAACTTGCTGAAAGGAACCAGAAGCTTTACTACCAGGAAAAAATTGTGGACAAGACATTTTATAGGAAACCAAGAGAGTGATATAGGCAGTAAACCGGTCTATAAATATGTCTTGAGTAGCATTAAGTCTAATACTGGCTGAGGATATGGTAGTACAGATAACTGTTACCAGCATTCAAAGGCAAATATCTGTTACAAAAAACAACAGTTTGGTATCACTTCCATCATTACATTACATTCAAAAGGGTATAAATATTATATATCAGTTTCCATGGACAAACCTATCTCCGAACCATTCAAGGGTTGGGTAAAAGAGTGCTAATCTAAAGGGTCATCCATCAAAATCACAACAATCACCACGCTGCAGCAGCTAATTTCTCAAAATCATGATGGATGCTCTGAATGCCTTCAGTGATAGCATTTACTTCTGATTGCAGCTTGCTAATTTCAGAACCTTTGGCCACATCGATTGACATCAGGGTCGCCCGTTTTTCCTTCAAGTCCTCGATCTCCTTATCAATCCGACTGATTGTTTCACTATTTCTGATTCTGTCAAGAGTACACTCCGTGATCTGAATGTCAACTTCTTTTGATTGGTTCTCAAGTTGCCCCAACTTAACTTTCATTTCAATCAATTCCTTCAGACGATGCCGTACTGCCGTGACATCAAATCCCAACACTTCCAAGTCAACTAGTGCCTCCAAATTGCTATCAAATAAGTCTCTAGGATCGCCAACTTGCAACTTGGAAGTCTTCTCCACCAAAGAGGCAAAGGTTATCATATTTCCAAGAGCGGATCCTTCACGACAAACCGCTTTACACTTCATCAGAGGATGAAAATGTGGCCTTTGTGGAAATCTTTTGAATACTTCCATGGATTCAATACTTTTCCAAAATGGAGAACTTCTCACAAAAGGTGAATGTGGACTGTCTTGTTGCTCAACTTGTGTTCCTCTAACATCATTTTGTTGGTTGGCAGTCCTGGCAGGGTTACCTAGAAACAGTCTTGATATTAGTCAAACTAATGACAGCCAAAGGAATCCATTGAAAATTTTCACAGTAGCTTACTTGAGCACTCTATGGCTTTTACAGAATGCATTTCATCTATGCACAGTGATAAAGGTTGATCATGGGCAGATGCCGTTGCAGATATTCCGGTCACAGCCACCTGAACTTCTTTTGTCGAGTAATCCATTGCAGAATCCACATTTTTTGTCTCTTTCATCACTTCTTCAGAAGCTGCAAATTTAAGAAAGACAAGAAATTTTAGACAACACAAGATAAAAAAGAATAGGATAAGCAAGTACTTCCAAAAGGGAAAAACAATAAAGGAAAAGCATATCCCTATTATGTTAAGCTAACATTTTTTTTTGGTCTAGCAACACTTCGAATACATCCGTGGTTTCAAATATTTTTCCCAACTGGAGAACTTTTTAGAAAAGGGAGAGTGTTTGACTGTCTTGTTGATCAGTGTCACCTGTTAAACCAGTTTCAACCTGTCTTCCTCTGACCTCATTTTGTTTGCTGGAAAACCCTGCAGGGTTACCTACAACACAACCTTAATGTTAATCAAACAAACCAAAGCCAAAGAAATACTCTGACAACTTTCTCAATTGCTTACTTAAGCCCTCTATTATTTTCTCAATATCCATTGCAGTATCTTCAGCTTCTGCTTCGACCGTTGCATCTTCAAAACCTCAGATTTTAAGAAAGGTATGAATTTTATGCTACGCAGGATAACAATAAATAGGATTAAACAATTACTACCAACATTTTAAAAAGTGAGAAAAGGATAAGTAAATCCAAATTATTTTCCTTTTTTTTGTTCGTCTACCAATATGTTGTACTTTTCCTAATTGACTCATTTTGACAATAGAAAAATCTTACGGGACTTAATTGTAGCTCCCTCACACATGATTCAGTTGCAGAATCTACACTCAGTATTACCAAAATCAGTGTATTTCTTGAACTGCAAAATCATGGTTTCTTTATTATGTTTCACTACCTCTATTCCTTGACTCTTCCAGTTTCATTTTCCTAATCACTCATCCAAATATTGTAATTGACGAGTATCTCTTTCACAGCAAAAAATTATAGAATAAAAAAGCAAAAGCATACCAGTCATGGGGAGCATTCAAATTAAATTGCACACGAGTTCCTGTAATTCTTTTTACATAAACTAAAGGTTTTTCCAGGTTCTGATGTACCATACCATTATCATTGACAACTTGAGTCTTAGTCGATTCAACTTGAGCAACAACTCCAGTTCCGTTGTGCTTCTCACCTGCAAAAAATAGAATTTATTCAGGCCACAAGTTTTCTATTCCATTGTGCTTAATTCAGGTTGTTAACTACTCATACCTGTCAAATCCCACATTGTTATTACAGGCAATTCAAATATATCATTCGCATGATCTGCAGCAAAAGATCCAACGCCATTATGTGCCTCACCCATATGCTGGTACAAATTAGATTTTCAAAATATACACGTCTATCGAGAATTGTGTAGCTCTGACATATTATACACACCTGTTGCTGGATCTTTTGGGTGTTCAACAAGATATTCAGGCAGTTTTCCCTTCCCTTTTATTTCATTGCTCACCCCATTTTCATTCCATTCAACCTCCTGAATGAATCAATAAGAAATATGATGATCAACAAACTTGGGTTAGAGGGAAATAAATCTCAATAGGATGCCTCAAAAATTAAAATAAAACATCATAGTTTTTTCTATTAACAATTGTCTTTTAAAAACAAAAAAAACAAAAAAAACAAATCCTCTAGTAAGGTCAATATTAAAGATTTCTAGAATTATGGGCATGCGCCATCTTAGTCCTTCCTTTCACTTTTACCTCTGAAGTATAATTAAGCTCTCTTGTTTTATGTAACACTGCTATATATAATTAAAAAGAAAAAAAAAAGGCCACTCTGTATTTCAACCGTGACTACTTTAATTGCCAAATTAGCATGTATCCAGTTAGCTAACAGGAGAATCATTCCTTTCTCTTGAACATAAATGTTTTATTCCTTGTCATCATATTGGCCTTTCTACCCCAAAGCTTAATGCAGACCGCAGTTTTGATACGTAAAGAGATATAGAAGGAAGCATAGCATACAGGCTTCAGATATACCTCTACAGGGAGCAGACATGATGTTCCAGCATGAGATCCCCCTGTTAGCTCAGAATCTGACCTTATACCAGAAGATTCAATGTTGTCCAGTCCATACTCATCTTCAACATCTTCTTCATCAGCATTTTCAATTTCACTGCCCTTCTTGACTGCAACAATTTATACAAATTTGTTTTATGTGGATTACACAATGAATATGTTAATACAGAAATAATATCATGTAATGTTAATCACTGTGGATATATGCCTCTGGCTAGTGATATTTTCACCAGGCAATTTCAGTGGCCTGCCCCTCCCCTCATGTCTCACTCTTGGCCAAGGGATATCACCTTGAGAATTTCGTGGTTTTCCTTTTTGTTTATAAGAAATGATTTCTTGATTGTCCAGTTCTCCAACCTGTTGTTGCTTAGTCTTCTGCAATAGGAATAAAATGCATTCCAATCAGGACCATCAGGTGTCAGAAGAAACAAATCTCGAGAAAAAAATAATGCCTCTCTTTGATTTTTCTTTTTCTTTTTTGTTTATATAGCACTTCTTACTTTCAAATGGCAGTCTTCAGATGCTATCAACGCTATCAACTTATAAAATTCATAGAATGAGAGCAAGTTAATGAGGTTTTGAGAGGGAAGACTTGAGTCATGGTTTTGTTTACCCCAAAGGAACACTCAGCAATAGGAGAATATATATACCAACAACATTTGTTTTGACAGATCACTTACCGCACCCTTTCTAACTGGAGCTTCTTTTTTCAATGTTTTAACTGGCGTTCTCCTTGAAAATGATGGTGTAAAAGATAAGGAGTCTTCTGGATGTCCCCATGTTAACTTCTTGGAAGGACGTAAAATTGTTGCATCATCATTAGGTTTCTGATTAATTTTTAGTTTCTTTTTGGTCTTTCCATAAGGTGATTTATCAATGCAAGGACTCAAGTGCTCCAACTGATTCTTCCATGAAATCCTTGAACAAGCTGTTTTTACTTCATTATTATCCTTGGTAGCACCTGAACTTTCAAGTGCTGTAGCTACCTCGGAGCTTCTGAAACTCTCGCATGCACGCTTTGATTGTACTTCATAATCCACACTAAAGTGAGCATCCTGAAACGAAAGGCCAAAACTTTAGCCACCCACCAATAATTTGAGCCCATGTATGCTTTCCAGCATAGAAACTTAAATTTACCTGATAAAATTGCATCTTAATGATTATATTTCGAAGACCGAGGATGATTCAAACATGTTTACAAGTTTACAACTATACCCACAAAGACACAAGCCATGACAACTGCGCAACCCCCTCTCCTCTCCCGCTCTCTTTTTTCCCAATATAAAACAATGGAAAAATATGCATACCTTAGAGCAATCAACCCATGTTCCATTGGTCTTTGTAATCCATCCTCTCTCCGTCCATTCCACATGAGGCCTCAATTCTGAAGGACTGCATTCCTTTACCTGCTTTGTGAATTTTAAACGGACCATATACTTTTCTTCTGTAAGAATTTGTGTAATCTCTCCGACCCACCAACCCATATCATAGAATGCATCCACCATTTCCATCAAGTTAAAATCTCTTTTGCCTGACTTCGGAGGCTGAGGCCGAATCTGGTGGCCATTTACTACCACTTTAACATCACAGTTGTTTGTGCTCTTATATTGAAGCAAGAAAGAGTTAACCCCTAGTTCACCAAGATAAATTGCTGGGAACCAAGCATACAATAGATTGTTTTCGTTGGGATTTATTTCCACTGCTGTCCCATGGCTGAAAATTGTCTCCTCTATCCTCTTTGAACCATTAGTGACAAAGATCAGTTTTCTTTCTCTCAAAAGCATAGCATATAGAAATTTGTATCATATCTCAAAAATAGAAGGAAGCCAGATATATTGCTAATGAGATAAATGAATAAACTGAGATGGCACGAAGTTGCAAACATACAAGTAAAGACCTCTGTAAATCCAAACTTCAAACTACAGAAAATCACAAGTTCGTGATTTGAAATACCCCAAGTTTTAGTGCCATGCTTAATATTACAAATGTTCACATGATTAATAATCATTCAAGTTTTAGTGCACCATTTTTTGCTTTAGAAAGAAAAAGATAGCAAACGCAGAACCATGGATCTTTTTATAAGTAAATTGATACTGATAGACAGATTACTAAAAGTATCTGCTTTCTGTAAAATTTCATCAATTAATGGTAAAAGATTGAGTTCACAATAAAACCGTTTAACTTAACTTGCCCAAATATGATTTAGGGGGAGGGGGGACTTATTTAAGAAACACAAAACCCAGAAGAAAAAAAATTAGAAAGCATAAACAAACATGATATCCAGTACTGGTTCGGATCATCACATCATCAATTCCCCAAGCAATAAAATAACAACTTTGGTTGATAATTCAGGAAAATCAATAGAATAGTCAAGAGAACCAATGATACCAATGACAACCGGTATTAAAAAAACATGAACACGGATAAACTGCTCTTAAAAAGTGCAACAACATAGAAAGATGATCTTTTTAGGAAAATAGAAATCTTTTGAAGGAAATAAAAAAGAGAATCTAAAAGCAGAACAACAAAGGCAAGGCCAATGTACAATAAACAACCTGCATGTTCTTAAATCATGAAAACCAATGGTAGAAAGCTCCAAAGAAAATTCATAAATAAACAAAAGAAAGCGCATGCAAGCATAAACCAAGTACAAATCCTGTTTAAAAAGACAAACCCACATGCATTATTAAAATGTAGAACTAGTACCTCCTTCCGGGCTCGAATCCATACGCCGTCCAGAAAATCCCAATGAGGCCGCAGCTCAGAGCGCCTTAACTCAAGCAGATCAGGTGGGTTTTTGAAACCCACCGTATACTTGTCATCCTCAAACCTCATCACAACCCCCACCCACCAAGCTTCAAGGTAAAAGGAGTCTACGACGTCTGCGGGCTCGAAGGGCTGGTCAGGATTGTCAGGAGGAGGCACGGGCCGGATGGAGCACACGTCAACGAGCTCAGTGAGTGGCTTGTTTGGGTCATCGTCGGAGACCAGAGTCTCGTACTGCACCAGAGCCTTGCTTGAGTTGCCAAGGCTCTTCCTTTTCTTCTTCGCTGAGAGATCTGAGGGTTGTGGGTCAAGGATTATGGCAGGGAACCATGCACCTCTGTAACCCTCTTCGTTGCTGCAAACTTCCACCTTTGAATCCTTGCTCAAATGCGCTTCGCTCCGCTTCACCACCATTTCTTACTTGTTTTCTCTCACTCTCCAGAGAGACAAACACACTATATTTAGTAGTGTTTAAGCAGAGCGGTCAAGGTCAAGTTTTGGGAGAAAAGTAGGACTTTTTTGTGTCCTTCGATCATAAATGTTTCATTGCTCCAAGACTCTCATATCTCTAGGTAAACGACGGATCGTAAAATTTGAACGATTTGTCGTGTAGATCAAGTTTTGTTGGAAACGACAGGCGTTAGTTCCCCCACTGAGAGTTGTTGGATTGGAATTTGGATGTTTTGGTTGTCCCTAGACCCAAAGCTATACTGGTGTAGTGTTGTTGGGCTTCGGCCCACATTCATAGCACTGAGGATATGGTAGTACATGGTACATACAGATAATTGTTTGTTACCAGCATCCTAAGGCTAATGGCTGTCATAATAAACTACAGAACAGTTTGGTATCACGTCATCATTACATTCAAAAGGGTACAGATATTATATATCAGCGTCCAAGCTTAGCAAAAGGAGTGGTAATCTAAAGGGTGTCATCCATCATAATCACAACAATCACCACGCTGCAGCAGCTAATTTCTCAAAATCACGATGGATGCTCTGAATGCCTTCAGTTATAGCATTTGCTTCTGATTGCAGCTTGCTAATTTCAGAACCTTTGGCCACATCGATTGACATCAGGGTCCCCCGTTTTTCCTTCAAGTCCTTGATCTCCTTATCAATCAGACTGATTGTTTCACTGTTTCTGGTTCTGTCAAAAGTACACTCCGTGATCTGAATGTCAACTTCTTTTGATTGGTTCTCAAGCTGCCCCAACTTAACTTTCATTTCAATCAATTCCTTCAGACGATGCCGTACTGCCATGACATCAAATCCCAAAATTTCCAAGTCAACTAGTGCCTCCAAATTGCTATCAATTAAGTCTCTAGGATCGCCAACTTGCAACTTGGAAGTCTTCTCCACCAAGGAGGCAAAGGTTATCATATTTCCAAGCGCGGATCCTTCACGACAAACCGCTTTACACTTCACCAGAGGATGAAAATGTGGCCTTTGCGGAAATCTTTTGAATACTTCCATGGATTCAATACTTTTCCAAAATGGAGAACTTCTCACAAAAGGCGAATGTGTACTGTCTTGTTGCTCAACTTGTGCTCCCCCAACCTCATTTTGTTGCTTGGCAGTCCCAGCAGAGTTACCTAGAGAACACAATCTCGATATTAGTCAAACTAACTACAGCCAAAGGAATCCATTGAAAATTTTCACAATAGCTTACTTGAGCACTCTTTGGCTTTTATAGAATGCATTTCATCTATGTACAGTGATAAAGGTTGATCATAGGCAGATGCTGTTGCAGATACTCCAGTCACAGTCACCTGAACTTCTTTTGTCAAGTAATCCATTGCAGAATCCACAGTTTCCGTCTCTCTCATCGCTTCTTCAGAACCTGCAAATTTAAGAAAGACATGAAATTTTTTACAACACAAGATAAAAGCGAAAAGGATAAGCATATCCCTATTATGTTAAGTCTAACAGTATACATCCATGGTTACAATTTTTTTCCCAACCGGAGAACTTTTCGGAAAGGCAAAGTGGATTGTCTTGTTGCTCAGTGTCAGCTGTTACCCCAGTTTCAACCTGTCTTCCTCCGACCTCATTTTGTTTGTTGGAAATCCCAGTAGGGTTACCTAGAACAAACCTCAATGTTAATCAAACAAACCAAAACCAAAACCAAAACAATACTTCGAAAACTTTTTTAATAGCTTATTTAAGCCCTCTATTATTTTCTCAATATCCATTGCAGAATCTTCAGGTTCTGCTTCGGACATTGCATCTTCAAAACCTGAGATTTTAAGAAAGGTATGAATTTTATACTACGCAGAAAACAATAAATAAGATTAAAAAATTACTACCAACAGGTAAAAAAGTGAGAAATGGATAAGTACATCCCAATTTTATATTTTTACATAATATTAAGGGATTTAAATGTAGCTCCCTCACACATGATTCAGTTGCAGAATCTACACTAAGTATTACCAAAAGTATGTGTGTTTCTTTAATTGCAAAGTCATTCTTTCTTAATTATGTTACACTACCTCTATTTATTGACTCTTCCGATTTCATTTTCCTAATCACCCATATATGTTGTAATTAACTTGTATCTTTTTCACGGCAAAAAATTATAAAACACAAAAGCAAAAGCATACCAGTGGAAGAGAGCATTCAAATTAAATTGCACATGAGTTCCTTTATTGTTTTTACATAAACTAAAGGTTTTTCCAGGTTGTGATGTACCATACCATTAACATTCGCAACTTGAGTCTTAGTCAATTCAACTTGAGCAACAACTCCAGTTCCATTCTGCTTCTCACCTGCAAAAAATAGAACTTATTAAGGCTACAGGTCTTCTATTCCATTGTGCTTAATTCGGGTTGTTAGCCACTCATACCTGTCCAATCCAACCTTTTTATCACATGCAATTCACTGCTCACTCCATCTTCATTCCATTCAAACTCCTGAATGAATTAATAAGAAATAGCATGATCAACAAATTTGGGTTAGAGGGAAATAAATCTCAATAGGATGCCTCCAAATTCGAACTTATTCCAGACATTAAGTAAAGTTGAACACATTTTTTGAATTAATTATAGACAAATTTAGAATAAAATACCATAGTTTTTTATTATTAATAATTGTCTTTTTCTAGTAAGGTCAACATTAAATATTCCTAGAATTATAGGCACAGACCATCTTAGTCCTTCCTTTCACTTTTACAGCACCCTCTGAGGTATAATTGAGCTCTCTTGTTTCATGTAACACTATTTCAAACATTTTTTTAATATATAAATTTATTTAAATTAAATAATAATAATAATATAAATAAATAAATAAAAAAGACGCCACTCTGTATCTCAAACCATGGCTACTTTAATCACCAAATTAGCATGTACCCAGTTAACTAACAGGAGAATCATCCCTTTCTTTTGAACAGAAAAGTCTTATTCCCCGTCATCATTTTGGTCTTACATTTGTTTGATAGAAAGCACACTGGTCTTGCATTTTTACCCCAAAGCTTAGTGTAGACTGCAGTTTTGATATGTGGAGAGATAGAGAAGAAGAATAGCATACGGGCTTCAGACATACCTCCATGGGGAGCAGACATGATGTGTCAGCATGAGATCCCCTTGTTAGTTTAGACTCTGTACCAAAAGATTCAATGTTGTCTACTCCATACTCATCATCAACATCTTCTTCATCAGCCTTTTTTATTTCCCTGCCCTTCTTGACTGTAAAAAATTATACACATTTGTTTTATGTGGATCACACAATGTTAATATAGAAATAATATCATGTAATGTAAACAGTGTGGATATATGCCTCTGGCTATTGATTTTTTCACCAGGCAATTTCAGTGGCCGGCCCCTCCCCTCATATCTCACTCTTGGCCAAGGGATATCACCTTGAGAATTCCAGTACTTTACCTTTTCGTTTAAGAGAAACTATTGCTTGATTGTCCAGTCCTCCAACCTGCTGTTGCTTAGTCTTCTGCAATAGGAATAAAATGCATTCTAATCAGGACCATCAGGTCTCAGGAAGAAACAAAACCAGAGGGAAAAATAATGCGTCTCTTGCATTTTTTGTATATAGCACTTCTTATTTTCAAATGGCAGTCTAAGATGCTATCAACTTATAAATTCATAGAGAGCAAGTTAATGAGGTTCAGAGAGGGAAGACTTGACTCATGATTTTGTTTACCCCGAAGGAACACTCAGCAATAGGAGAATATATATCAACAACACTTTTGTGAGAGTTCACTTACCACACCATCTCTAACTGGGGCTTCTTCGCTCCTTCGAAATAATTGTGCAAAAGATAAGGAGTCTTCTGAATGTCCCCATATTAACTTCTTGGAAAGACCTAAAATGGTTGCATCATCATTAGGTTTCTGATTAATTTTTAGTTTCTTTTTGGTCTTTCCATAAGGTGATTTATCAATGCAAGGACTCAAGTCCTCCGACTGATTCTTCCACGAAATCCTCAAACAAGGTGTTTTTTCTTCATTATTATCCTTGGTAGCACCTGAACATTCAAGTGCTACAGCTAACTCAGAACTCCTGGAACTCCTGCATGCACGCTTTGATCGTACTTCATAATCCCTGCTAAAGTGACCTTCCTGAAACTAAAGGCCAAAAATTTAGCCACCACAAATAATTTGAGCCCATGTATGTTCTCAGCATAGAAACTTAAACTTACCTTATGAAATTGCATCCTAATTATTATATTTTCAAGACAGGGTGATCCAAACATGTTTGCCATCATATCCCATAAAGTAACAAGTCATGACACCACCCTCATACCCCGGCCCTTTTCCCAACATAAAACAAGAGAAAAATACACATACCTTAAAGTAAGGAACCCAGTTTCCATTGATCATTGTAACCCAGTTTCTATTGATCATAGTAACCCGTTTTCCATTGATGATAGTAACCCATCTTCCATCCGTCCAGTACATGTGACGCCTCAATTCTGACTGACTGCGTTGCTTCACCTCCTCTGTCAATTTTAAACAGACCAGATACTTCTTTCCTGTAAGAACTTTTATAATCTCGCCGACCCACCAACCCATATCAAAGAATGCATCCACCTTTTCCATCAAGTTAAAATCTCTTTCAGCCAACTTTGGAGGCTGAGGCCGAATCTGTTTGCCACCTACGACCACTTTAACATCACAGTTGTTTGAGCTCTTATATTGAAGCAAGAAATAGTTGGCCCCTAGTTCACCAAGATAAATTGCTGGGAACCAAGCACAGAATGGATGTTCTTTGTAGAGATTCACTTCCACTGCTGTCCCAGGGCTGAAAAATGATCCCGCCATCCTCTTTGAACCATTAGTGAGAAATATCAGTTTTCTTTCTATTAGAAGCACAGCATATAGAAATTTCTATCATCCCTCAAAATAGGAATCCAGATATATTGCAAATGAGATAAATGAATGAACTGAAAAGGCATGGACTTGCAAACATACAAGTAAAGACCTCAATAAATCCAAACTGAAAACTCCATAAATCACAAGTTCATTATTTGAAATACAAAAAACAAAAAACAAAACAAAAGAAGACATGAAAGAAAAGATCTTTTGAGTTAAATATCCATATTGAGAAGCAGACTGCATCAGACCTAGCTAGATGCTGTGGCTAACGCACCATTGGCCATCCATAGCACTTAAATACTCAATATTACAAATGTTCACACAATTAGTAATCATTTAATTCATGGTAAAAGATTGTGTTCACAATAAGACCGTCTAACTTAACTTGCCCAAATACGATTTAGGGGGAGGGGAACTTACTTAACAAACACCACAATATCAGAGAAGTCCCAGAAAAAAAATTAGAAAGCACATACAAACCTGATGTCAAGTACTGGTTCGGACCAAGGACAACAAGCAATAAAAATAACAACTTTGGTTTGGTTGATAATTCAGGAAAATCGATAGAATAAACAAGTGAACCAATGATACTCATGACAACCGGTATTAAAAAAACATGAACACGGATAATGGTACTCACTGAGCTCGTTGGCCTTGCAACATAAAAAGATCATCTTTTTAGGAAAATATAAATCTTTTTAAGGAAAAAAGAAGAATCTAAAAGCAGAACAACAAAGGCAAGGCCAATGTACAATCAACAACCTGCATGTTCTTAAATCGTGAAACCAAGTACAAATCCTGTATTAAAAAACAAACCCACATGCATCATTAAAATGTAGAACTAGTACCTCCTTCCGGGCTCGAACCCATACGCCGTCCAGCAAATCCCAATGAGGCCGCAGCTCAGAGCGCCTTAACTCAAGCAGATCAGGTGGGTTTTTGAAACCCACCGTATACTTGTCATCCTCAAACCTCATCACAACCCCCACCCACCAAGCTTCTTGGTAAAAGGCGTCTACGACGTTTGCGGGCTCGAAGGGCTGGTCAGGATTGTCAGGGGGAGGCACTGGCCGGATGGAGCACACGTCAACGAGCTCAGTGAGTGGCTTGTTTGGGTCATCTTCGGAGACCAGAGTCTCGTACTGCACCAGAGCCTTGCTTGAGTTGCCAAGGCTCTTCCTTTTCTTCTTTGGTGTGCCATCTGAGGGTTGTGGGTCAAGGATTATGGCTGGGAACCATGCACCTTTGTACCCGTCTTCGTTGCTGCAAACTTCCACCTTTGAATCCTTGCTCAAATGCGCTTGGCTCCGCTTCACCACCATTTTCTTGTCTTCTCTCACTTTCTCCAGAGAGAAAAACACACTATATTTACTAGTGTCTAGTAGCAGAGCTGTCAAGGTTTTGTCCTCCTTGTTCTTCCAGGACTCTCAAATTGTGCATAACCCAAAGAAGTGTACTTTTGTTGGGCTTCGGCCCACAGCCAACCACTCCTCCACCAAATGGAAGATTCCAAACATTTCCTAATGTAAAGAAAAACTCTAAAAACGTTGTCTTGAAATTTGAAGTGTCTTGCTTGGTCTTATTTAAAGCGTGTCATATTTACAGTTACACTTACATCTAAGATTCTAGAAGAAATATACATCTGATATATGTTTTGTAATTCACTTATAATGTTTTAATCCAAAAGTTTTAACTTATAATGTGATTTTATTTGGACATTACATCTGATTTTGTATCTCAATTTAATTGTCGTCTCAAGTTAAAATGGAAGAGTAAATGAGAAGTAAAATCTTTTTATTTTTTTCTCAGAATAAATGAGGTGTAAATGAGATGTAAAATCACTATCTCTCAATTTGGTGGTACATTGCAAAATGCAAATATTATTATTTTTTGTTTATGAAAGAAAAGTTTAGGTGGAGATTAGTTATTCTTACCATTAGTGCTAGGACATACCCACAACCTCAAGCCAAAAAGACTTATGCATGCTACCCACTGCCAGCTGTCACAAGTATGAATTTATCTAAGAAAATGCAAATATTCTTTAATATTAATATTAATATTATTTGGCCATTAAGAATATAATATTATTTGGCAATTGTGTTGTTGGTCCAAATAATAATTAAAGCAGAGTCAAATTTGTCTCCCTCTCTCTCTTTTTTCTCTCGTTTTTCTCGTCACCTTCCTCCCAACCCAAGTCATGACCCACTCAGCCATTTCCACAAGTCAAAGAAACCATCTTTTTAACCAATCTCCCTCCCCATTATCTCATTTTTCATCAAACCCATCTCTTTCCTTCCCTTTCTTTCAAAATCTTAACTTCACAAACACCTCCCTCATTCTCAATTTCTCACATTCTATCATTCTATCTCTCAATTCAATTCAATTCAATTCATCTCACGAACCAGTTTCTCACCCACCATGTTGATGCTGGTAGACTGCTCAGGCTGCCGCACGCCTCTGCAGCTGCCACCTGGAGCTCAAACCATCCGCTGCGCCGTCTGCCAAGCCGTCACCCGCGTCGCCGACTCGCGCGCTCTTCCTCCTGCGCCCTCCTCCTCCTCCTCCTTCCACCGCCCACCTCCTCCTTCCACTTCTCCCTACAACCACGCACCGCCGGGGCCTCCTCCTTCAGCTCACGGACGCAAGCGGGCTTTGATATGCGCCGTGTCGTATAAGCGCTCCCGGCATGAGCTCAAGGGCTGCATTAACGACGCCAAGTGTATGAAGTACTTGCTGGTCAACAAGTTCAGCTTCCCCGAGTCCTCCATTCTTATGCTCACTGGTAGCTCTCCATTCCCATTTCTTCAATGTTTGGTGTTTTTTATGTTGCGTGTGGTTTGAATTTACGGGTTGTTTTCTAATTTGACTTTAAATTTATGGGTCAGCAAAGACTAGTTCTTGTGTTCTTATCCTACAAACTTTTGCAATTGGATCGTTGAATTATTCTGCATTGGTAGTAAAGCATCGATCTTTTTTTAAAAACTGATGTGTTTCTGTTGATTTGAATGTTATATATATTATGACTAATTCTGTAATTACCAATTAAGTGATATTACTATTACATTTAAGAATCTTTACTTGGGTTATCTTTCTCATGTTTCCATAAACAACTGAGTTTTGTATTATTAGTAATTGAGTATGTCATGTTGTTCCACAATTTCAATGATGAGATATGGTTGTAAAAAGTCAAAAACGGGGGTTATGCTGATGCACCATGGTTTGTTTTAGAAGGTAATTGAACAATGTGCATAGCATGTAATGCAGATAAGTTCTGATCTTAATCTCTATGTGACTGTAACTTGCAGAAGAAGAATCTGATCCTTATCGGCGCCCAACCAAACAAAATATGAGAATGGCGATGTTTTGGCTTGTGCAAGGTTGTCAAGCTGGGGATTCCTTGGTGTTTCATTATTCTGGTCATGGATCACAACAGAGGAACTACACTGGAGATGAGGTGGATGGATATGATGAAACACTCTGTCCCTCGGATTTTGAGACTCAGGGAATGATCGTGGATGATGAGATCAATGCGACAATTGTCAGACCTCTTCCTACTGGGGTTAGGCTCCATGCTATTGTAGATGCTTGCCATAGTGGTACTGTGCTAGATTTACCGTTTCTCTGTAGGATGGACAGGTAACTCCAGTTTGATATTTTGTTTCTTCAGATCTTATCTTATGTGTCTTTGCATAGTGTAATCTAATCTTTATTCTCCATCTCTGCCCATATTATGAATATATGAAAGTTATCTATGCTTTATTCTTTACTCTCCATAATGTTATTCTGTATTGTTTTGTGCTTAATATTGCTCTATGTACTTTCCCTATTCATTCTTGTGTGTGGATGTAGAAGCGGAAAGTACGTATGGGAGGACCATCGCCCTCGGTCAGGTGTTTGGAAAGGAACTAATGGTGGGGAGGCCATTTCCTTTAGTGGCTGTGATGATGATCAAACCTCTGCCGATACCTCGGTAAAGTCTTATTTCAACTACATTAGCCATCATGCCTTTTTCTAGCCTAAGGATATTATAAGAACAAAGCTAACACTTCATCTGTGCAGGCCCTGTCAAAGATTACTTCAACTGGTGCCATGACTTATGCTTTCATCCAAGCCATCGAGCGTGGACATGGAAATACATATGGGAACATGTTGAATGCAATGCGATCTACCATCCGTAACACAGATAATGATCATGGAGGTGGTATTGTGACGTCTCTTATCTCCATGCTTTTGACAGGAGGCAGTCTTGGTGGATTGAGACAGGTATGATTGTCAATCTTTCAACACCAGTTTGACCATATAACAAAATCTGATGTTTCTTGGCAGTAGTTTGATTAAAATCAGCATGCCAAATTTTGTGAGCAATTAAATGATTCCTAAAAGTTTAGTTAGACACTGCAGTATGAAGGAAAATATAAAAGAAAAATAATGTTTCATATCTTTAGAAGATGTGCAGTCCTCTGTTTTTGCACTGTGAGAAATGCATTGGTAGATCTTAAATTTTATTTTTGTGTATTCGCCATATTGCGTTTTGTTAAACTTGATCTCATGTCTAGTAAGCTGATTTCAGTTAGCATCTTAACTTTCCTTTGAACTGTCTTTGCTGCAGGAACCACAGCTAACTGCCAATCAACCATTTGATGTGTATACAAAGCCTTTCTCCCTTTAGTCAGTGAAACAGTATTTCCATCTTCTAATCATCCAGCGCGTCCCGACCTCCCAGAAGTGCGTACAGTTCTTCCCAGGGAAACCCAATTTTGTCATCCGATTGCTTCCACTTTTATTGGTTGTTAATCTTATATTTTATAGAATGGGTGTGCACCTTGTAAATCCAATTTCCAGCAAACCCTGACCTAGTTCCTTTTGATGGAACATAATTGGTCTTCAACAAGATCCAATGCAAAAATTCCCCTGATTCCTCCTGGTTATTGTTGCTTATCAAGCAAAGCAGAACGAAGAAACAATGGAAACAGCCCCAAAACGAATGATTTTCACATAATATATATTTTTTCATAGATTCAGTCAAAAGCTGAGGCATTTCAAATTATTTGATAGCTTAGATCTTGGGCATGTATTTTGAATTCTTCCACAAAGTTCTTGTTCTTTGTCCTTGAATTTTCACATATGCATAGATTGTGGACTGATTACAATAGAAAGAGAACAAAACAATGAAAAAGAGGCAAATGCATATAAATATATTCCAACAGAATAGAATACAAGAACAATATGTGAAGTATTGTAGCAAAAAAGAAGATGCAAAAAGCATCACGGATAAAAGTAAAAAGAAAGTAAAGATATGTTCGAATCTGATAAAATTAACATGAGAAGTTGGAATGTATAAAGTCCCATGATTTTTAGGACAAGATCACAACATCTTCTCTTCCCTGACCCTCAGACTCTCTCACTATGTTGATGCCTGTTCAGTGCTCAAAATGCCATAAAAATGTGCAGCTACTACCACCAGGCGCACCCTCCATGTGCTGCCATGTTGCCACCTATGCAGCTCCATACTCCTACTCCCACCACTATCCACCTCATCAACTGCCACTCACCGCCCTGCCTCCACCCCCTTACAGCCACTTGCCACCCGGGTCACCTCTGTTCGCCCGTGTATGCAAGCGAGCTGTGATATGTGCCGTGTCTTATAAGAACTCCAAGCATGAGCTTAAGGGGTGCATCAACGATGCAAACTGCATGAGGTATTTGCTTGTCAACAGGTTCCACTTCCCAGAGTCCTCCATTCTCATGCTCACCGGTAATTTCGATGTGAAAACAATGTTCCTAAAAATTTTATGCAGATAATTATTTGTGATCTTAAATCTCTAGCTGAGAGTTACTCTTGCAGAAGAAGAGGCTGATCCTAATAGGCATCCATCCAAACAAAATATGATAAAGGCTCTGTATTGGCTTGTGCAAGATTGTCAACCAGGAGATTCTTTAGTATTTCATTATTCTGGTCATGGAAAACGCAAGAAGAACAACACTGGGGATGAGGTGGATGGATATGATGAATACTTGTGCCCGTTGGATTTTAAGACTGGGGAACTGATTTCAGACGATGAGATCAATGCAATAATTGTCAGACCTCTTCCTCATGGGGTTAAGCTCCATGCATTTATAGATGCTTGCCATAGTGGTACTGCTCTAGATTTGCCATTCCTCTGTAGAATGGACAGGTAATTAAGTCACAGCTTAATACTTTCGTTGCTTAAAATCTGATGTGGTTAAGTTCAATCCCAGATTTTAGTATTGCTTTATGGATGCAGAAGTAGGAGATATCTATGGGAGGACCATCGGCCTCCATCCGGTGTTTGGAAAGGGACAAATGGTGGGAAGGCTATTTGCTTCAGTGGCTGTGATGATCACCAGACCTCTGCTGATGCTTCAGTACTAGAAAAAAATCTAAGACACCATCTTAATTTCTTAAACTAAGTATTCTGCTTAGAAGTGACTCATAAAAGAAACAGGGCTAATACTAATTTTGTATGCACAGGCTCTGTCAAATACTACTCCAACTGGTGCAATGACTTTTTCTTTGATACAAGCCATTGAGCATGGACATGGAACTACATATGGAGACATCCTGAGTTCAATGCAATATACCATCCGCAATGCAGAGAATGAAGACTGTGACACTGGGACATCTCCTCTTCTCAATATGACTAGAAGAGGGAGTCTTGCTGCCGGGTTTACGCAGGTTCGTAATCAAGCCGAAGGAAGCAAGGGTACATATGATTGTCAATGCTTTCAAATTAGTTTGAAAGCATAGGAAATTCTGTTGTTTGTTGTCAGTATTTTGCTTGGATTAATAAGGGTGTGCGTTTTTGGTTATCTTTACATAAACTTGACCTCATAATCTTCAACTTTCATTTATCCCCTTTTCTGCAGGAGCCACAGCTAACTGCAAGTGAAAAGATTAAGCTGAAGAAGCCATTCTCCCTGTGATTTTTATCATCTGTTTTAGCTCTACTGTTATATAATAAGCAAATGCACAATGTCCACAACACTAGAAAACCACAGGCTAAATCCCATACGAAAAACCCCATTACAAATTGCTAAAACCATCTCATCATGTCAAGAGAAAAGGGAAATGTAAAAAAATACTAATAATAAATTATAATAAACATCTGGAAGCCATGTCTTTCTATCCACTTCTTCTTCCTTTTTGCAGTACTCTGAGTGGCTTTCCCATCAACTGCATGCATTGCATCTTGTACCTTGCATTGTCCTTCATAGCCATCTCCTCGTACAACTACAAAAACATATTTTCATATTTTAGTTCTCTTTTCCTTCCAAAATAAACTAAAAGAAGAAGGCTGAATTGTTCATGATTGAAAAAAATCAGAGAGAGAGAGAGAGAGTGAGAGAGAGATTGCAATGCAGACCCTTTTCTCTGTTTAAGGGAGTTGGCACCACATTCGACCAAGTTGCTTACTTGTTTCACCAAATGAAGAGGACTTAACAACACCCCAAGTTGCCATCACAAACAAAGAATAAGAAGTGCATGGCTTTATAGGGGAACTATGCCTTCTAAGCACTCTCTCAAACACATCAAGCTTTCCTCTGTTTTTCTTCCTTGATTTCTCACTCCCACCACAACAAGGCCTCATTAAACTCCTGCCTGATGATATTGGAGGAAAATAGTTGACAGGAGATATCACCCCACTCCTCAGCCTTGTCACAATATTTCTTGTCTCAATAGACTCAATTACTTCATTACCCTTTGAAGGTTGTGTACAAGAAGCACTTTGGTGATCTTTCACTTCTTGAACAGCATTTGGGGTCATATATGAAGAAAAACTTGAATTCTCAGAGAAATGGTTTTCTGGGTAACATGCATTTGCACCCAGAGAGTTGAGGAGGCTGTGGTTCTGATGATCAGGTGTATGTTTTTTCTGCACACTGAATTGTACTGAGAAATTCAAATTCCCAGTGTCCCCTTTGACTTCAATAGTGTCTCCACTGAGAAAACCAGACAGTTGGAGAGGTGTTGAAGGCATTACAGTGTTTGGTGATTGAATTGATTGGTCAAACTGCATGTCTTCTGCCATTGAAGACCAAAATCCAAGATTGTAATGGAGGGAGGAACTGAGAGAAGAAGCAAAATGGGTTGGTTGTAAGTTTTGGTGATGGTTGTTAGAAATTTTGTTGCATAAATGTGAAATGTTGCATCTTTTGGCCATTTGGCACCTTCTGCATAACGTCGTTTCGTCACATGGCACTGGGTTTGCTTTGAACTCTCGAGATGCCAGACAGATGATGTGCGAAATCAGTGGAACCGGTGTGTCGTTTTAGAATTCAACACAGTTTTGTGGTTTCAGTATTGGTTAATTAATGTTTATCAATGTAATTTTTTTTTTATCAAAGAGAGAAAGAAATTCATTGAAGAAACATTGGATGTTTATTAATGTAATTAGATGAACTTATTCCATTAATTCTACTATTTATATATGTAATTATTGTCTAAGATGGTAACAAAACGTCAGAACAATACCAGCCAAATCATTGAAATGTTGATACCTAATAATAATAATAATTTTTATTTTTATTTGGGATTTTGAACTTAAAACCGCTTTCAACATTAGGAAGATAAATACCACTAGATCAATAGTTAGTTGGTCATTGCGAGCTCAATAACTTCTTCTAGCTTGTATAAACAAAAATAAATAACTTAATTTTGTTTTTGTCTGTGCCACATTACCTAATTTAGGTACATCATATCAGAACAATACCAGCCAAATCATTGAAATGTTGATACCTAATAATAATAATAATTTTTATTTTTATTTTTATTTGGGATTTTGAACTTAAAACCGCTTTCAACATTAAGAAGATAAATACCACTAGACCAATAGTTAGTTGGTCATTGCGAGCTCAATAACTTCTTCTAGCTTGTATAAACAAAAATATATAACTTAATTTTGTTTTTGTCTGTGCCACATTACCTAATTTAGGTACATCATGTTGACATATACGACCTAACAAAATCGATCAATTTTACATATAAAATACCACTAAACCAAGAACTACTTGATGTATCAACAGAAATATATCTTAATTTTGTTTTTGACAGTGCCACATTACCTAATTTGTCGACACATAAGACCCAACAAAGTTGATATATTTTAATATTTTCACACTTGAATTGAAGCCCCTCCGAAAATATAAAAACCTTCCCCTGTTAAAAGCGTTCAGCTTTATCCAAAGTTTTCAACTTTGTGGACATGGTTGCACCACCAGTAGCAGTTGCAACAGCGGCAACAACAGCGCTAGTTACGCCTAGTTCGCTAACGTGCGCACTGGTTCCATCATGGCAAGGTCATTAGACTCATTACCGGCCTCCCCGCTCCATCTCTTCCTCTGTGTGCAAATGGGTTTTGATTGAATTTTAATGGTTAATCTAAATTTGCAGGGCTTCGTGGAAGTCTGGGACCAGCTCGAAGCTTGCAATGGCCAAAGAAACAGGTTCGCCTACTTCGAAATTTTGATTTCGTCTCACACTTGCATAAATGGGCTTCCTTTGGTTTCTGAGAAAATTGAGAAAAAGTTTGAAAATTTTGAGTTGGTTTTATGTATAAATTTGTTGTATTTGATTTGGAATTTTAATGTTGTCAAAGCAGAGACAATGCAGAAGGAAAGCCGGTGGCACTAGTGTTACTGCCCAATTTGAGCTAAAGCCTCCTCCATATCCACTGGTAAGATACTAAAAGTTATGAGGTTTCTCTTTGCAAAGTTTCTTATACATTATTAGACATAAGCCGATTTTGAGTAGATAATTACTATTTTACCAGTGGGTTTAGGCTTCATGCACCAAGTTCCAAATTTAGTGTGTGTTAGCTCAAGTTAAGTTTAATTACTACTAGCCGCCCTGGCGTTTGTCAAATTTACTTGACTGCTTGGTGTAAAAATTCTTGTTACAAATAAAAATATTCAATCAAGTTTCAATCTTTCATCTTTTATTTACTCTATTGAATGGAAATCTATTATGAGAAACATACTGAACATTGTAGCAACTTTGGCTGAAAATGGGCAGTAGAATTCGGGGCTCTGGTTCACTTTAGATGACAATGTGAGCCAATATTGTTTAAATCATAACACTGCTTTGATATTTCATATTGAGCAGGATGCACTGGAGCCGCACATGAGTAAGGAGACCTTAGAATATCACTGGGGGAAGCACCATAGGGGTTATGTGGATAACCTAAACAAGTTAATAGCAGGAACTGAACTAGATGAATTGTCATTGGAAGATATCATACTTGCTACACACAACAAGGGGGATCTTCTCCCGCCTTTCAACCAGGCAGCACAGGTATGCTATCCAGGAGATTGAATGCTTACCATTATCTTGAATTGTTTGATGTGATAATGTTTTGAGGTGCTTGGGGAAATGCATCGCAATTTGAAATTGTACATTTGCGTCGAAAATTAATGTTAAATTCAATATTGGTGAAGTTATAACTACTTAATGTTAAGGTAGATACTGATGAAATCCACCTGATGCGTCTGTGACAATTTATTTAAACTTCAAGCATGTATTAGATTGACTATATCAGTATATGACTCATACATATACTGCACACAGAAGCAGTCTTTTTTATGAGTGATTCCTGAAGTTAACTACCTATTGCTTTTTTACCTGTTTGCAGATCTGGAACCATGACTTCTTCTGGGAATCAATGAAACCAGATGGTGGGGGAAAGCCATCAGGTGAACTTCTAGAATTAATTAATAGAGATTTTGGTTCTTTTGAGAGATTCATTGAAGACTTAAGGTCAGCTGCAGCTACACAGTTTGGTTCTGGTTGGGCATGGCTTGCATGTGAGTGGTTGCCGTCCCATTTGACATCTTTAAGATTGAATTCTGCTGTCACATTGAATTTGGCGTATGCTAATATATCCTTGTGTTTTCATTTTCCAGATAAAGCGAATAGACTTGATGTTGGAAATGCAGTAAATCCTAAACCATCAGATGAAGACAAGAGACTTGTAGTTGTGAAGGGTCCTAATGCCGTAAACCCCCTTATTTGGGATTTTTCTGTGAGTATTATGACTTGTTCAATTCTTCCTAGCTCATTTTTCATGTCAAGATAATTAATATAGTACTCTATAGGAAAATATGTATAATGACTTTTCTTATTCATTTCATGCAGCCGCTCCTTACTATTGATGTTTGGGAGGTATTTGACATTTACCATGTTTCTTCCTATTTCAAAATGGTTATATTTTATAGTGATTTTGTTAAAAACCATTACTGACTGATTGTTAAATCACTGTGGAAATTTGTTTTTGTTTCAACAGCATGCTTACTACCTTGATTTTCAGGTAAGCCTCCTTTTATTGAACATATGAATTTCCTTCTTATGAGAAGGGATCTATGCATTCTGTCCAATACAAGTACATCTAACAACTGAATCTCTGGTTCATCCTCCAGAACCGGCGGGCTGATTACATATCAATCTTTTTGGAGAAACTTGTATCATGGGAAGCAGTCAGTTCTAGGCTTGAAATTGCGAAGGCTCGAGCTGCTGAAAGAGAGGAAGAAGAAGAAAGGAAGAAAAGAGAGGAAGAGGAGAAAACATCAGATGGCGAAGTTGAAGAGATTTATGTGGACAACAAGAGTGATGACTCAGAGACTGAATGAATTCAGTTTATTTTGCTTGCAGTGAAGATAAACTGGAAACAATTTTGGGTTGGTTGCCTTCTGGTTTGCAGTAAATGTGATACATACAGAGGTCATTCGAGTTTAGGCAGCATGTACTAAATTGTATTGCACCCGAGTAGATAGAATTTAGGATCTTAGGGGAGCATGTATATCTCTGTGGTTTTCTACAAAATATAAAGTTGATCATCTACATTTGGTTTTCTCTATACCCTAAACTACATCTTGTATTCATATCATCTTATGGGAGAAATCTTAAGAGACAATAGACCATCCAGAGGGGAGATCCTTGATTTGTCAATGCTTGGTGGTCCAAAGACCTCCAAAAATCGAAGAGAGCCATCTGCTACAGCTGATACCACAGTTAACCCATCAGGGCTCTGCAACAAAAATCAATAAAAAGAAACCATGTCAAAGGCATGGGACAGTCAAAAGGACACAAAAGAGTTGAAAAATGAAATGTTGGGTTTTCAAACCTGAGAAAGATGAAGGACTCTGGATGTGTAGCGATTCAAGCTTCCAACTTTATCCATGGAGGGATACCTCCAAAGGCATAGCTGATTCTTGATGAGCTCGCTTGCACTATAGCCATGGCCACTCATTATCTCCTTGTGATGCCTGTTCCACTCCAGTCCACAAACCTAGAAATATAGCACAAAGTTATACTTTTTGTTAATTGAGTAGAATATCATAAAAATAAAAACATGAAAACCAGGGAAATCTTGCAAAATGGAGATCAAATCCTATAACTTGCCTGAGATTCAGTAGCAATGCTTTTGATGCAGGTTCCCTTTTTCGTGTTCCATATCTTAATACACCCATCTTTCGTGCCTCCCCCGGAGGCTAGCACTTCAGACTGATAAGGACACCACGCAAGGGCCTTGACTGCAGCACGATGGTCTTTAAGACGAAACAAGAATCTCTGTGAGTTCATTTTGGAAGAGTCCCATATGTACAGAAGATTTTCATTGCCGCCGCTTGCCAATACATTGCCTTCTCCTGACCATTTCAAACCACAGACTTCTTCAGTGTGTGTCCGTAAACGGCAAGTCACATTGCTTCCTGCTCTGACTGTCAAAGAGACTTCTTCAGTGAATTGTTCCATTAAATCAATGATTTAGAATCAGAATAGAATTGCTAAAGGTGAAAGGGTGTTTGTCACTACCATCATGGTTGATGATGGACTTGTCGCGGCTGCCGGATGTTAATGTGTGGCCATTCCAGGTAATGCTTGCTATCCTGTCCTTGTGGCTTTCTAGGCTTCTAACCTTTGTGTAAAAAAGATGAACCAGAAAATGGTTTGAATTGCATCATCAACTAAATGTTTCAAAACAATGAATAAATTTAACAAGCATGAGGAGGTGTTTGAGAGAGCTTTACAAGCTTAGAAGTCTCAGCATCCCACAGTTGGAGTTTTGAACGCCTAAATCCAACTGCTACAGTTTTGGCATCTTGAGACCAGGCTACACTTGATGGAAAATCGTTCAGATCATCAACTTGCAACAGCTTATGAACCTCTCGGTTCTCTGCGTTCCAGAGGAATAAATCTTTGCCTAAAGCAATTGCAATTACATTGTTCTTCCCCCAATCCATGGTGCTCATGTAAAAGTCATTTCTTATGTTTGGTGCATCCAGAATTCTAGCTTCCCCCTGCAGCATTCCACACTTAGAACAAAGTAATCACAGAGAGCAAAACAAGAAGGAAATGGGAAGGAAAAAGTGATATGTTTGTAGTACCTTAGGCAATCTTCGAGGCTGATGGTGTTTACCATTACCATCCAATTCCTTTGCCTCATCCTGTCGCATCAGATCAACACAACGAATGGACTTTCTGTTTGATTTTGGACTTCCCCTAAAAACCAACATCCTAAATGGGTTCCCTTCTGAATCCAAAGTCAGTTTGTCCTCTATGCTCTTCCTGTACACCTCCTGGAAGACCCAAGAACTAAGGATATCAGTTCAAAAATTGTTTACAAGAAACTAAAATGCAACTACGACATACCCAATTCTTGAAATTCAGCAGAAGATAAAATGCAACATTCAAAAAACATCAAGATCCCAAAACAAAGATAGTCCTTTTTTTTTCCAAATAGAAGTAAAAACTAAAACCCAATTAACAATTTATCAGAAAAGACTAAAAAAGCAATTAATTTTTACATTGAAATTGGAGTTCCGGTTTGGTGTTGTCCTGTTTGACAGTAAACTGCGGGCTTGATCAAGATCCATCAAACTCCTATTGGGTATAAACCGATCTCCCTGAATTTGCAGATGCACAAAACCCAAAATTCAAAGAAGAACAAATCAGCAACCAAACGTCAAAGAAACAGTAAGGCATAAGGGAATGACATAAAGAAAAGTGAAATCTTGCTGAAGATAAAGGGAAATGTATAGAGTAATTTGTACCGGAAAGTCGTATTGGGTAATGGGGTTGCTGTTCAGGCGAGTAGGGGAGTACCAATCCGATTGAAGTTCCCACATTCTTGATAAACTGGTTTCTCTCTAATTGCTAATGCAGAGAATAAACAAACTCCTTCTTCACCAGGCAATAAAGAAGAACAAGAGAGAAGAAAGAAAAAATCTTTAACTAAAACAGTGGCATCTCCCGCCAAATAGATTTATGTATGGTGGAAATCCAACCGTTGTTTCTGTTGAGACAATAATGAGCAAGAACTTGGGTTTTGACTAAAAAGACAAAGGGTTTCCTTGGGCTTTAAAAGCTCAGGCCGAGGCCCAGCAGGCCCAATACCTTATTGCTAATAATGCAATTATGCAATGCAATTGCAAGTAGTGAAGAACCCTTATAGCTAATAATGCAATAATGCAATGAAAATGAAAAAGGTCACACCTTTTCTTCAACAAAGAACCCTCATTTCTCCAGTTCTGATCATGGAAGAAGAGAAGGCCTGGCATGAGAAAGAAGAGCCTGTCAGTTTAGCCTGGATGACTGCCTGGCCAAACAGAAGCTTCCAATCCAACGAAGTTACACCAATGGAGAATTGGTCTCTCTGGTAGAGCAGGCAAGTCATCCTTGGCTACCAAACTAGGCTCTTGCTCTCATGTTAGGCCTCCCTTCCTCTCTCTCCCTCCACTCCTCCTGCAAGGCTGCAATGGGATGAAAAATATTGCATTTTGAGCTCTCTCTTTATAGCCTGTAAAAGACAAAGAAATATTGCAGACCAAATCTTTTTTATTATTTCATCTGTGTGTTTGCACCATTTGGCTGACATGATGGAATATATTCTTTGGGGGAAAAGGAAAAGCCATGGAGGTCAATCTGCCACACTGATCAGCCAAATTGATCAAATGTGTCTCTTGACTCTTCTATGAAAAAACAAATGCTTTCACAGCTGAGTTTTGGTCATGGCGTGCAAATTAATGCTTTTAAGTCGAAATGGTATATGTATATAATAATGAATTGGTTTCTTGCCTCAAACAGCCAGTTGCCATTTCTGGCCAAAAAGGAGTGATGGGTTTTGGCCTTTTGGGTTTTAAAATGCAAATCAAACTTCAAAGCATCTTTTAACTGCTCATGCCCCAACCAGAGTCCTTCACTTTATGCTAACAGTGATTCTTGTGGGGCAACACCAACATCAACCAAATTGAAATGCCCCACCTTGAAAATTAAAGTCAATGCCTTGGCCACTAACAAAGATTTTGGGGCTCATCACTTGATCCATTTGGTTAAAGGTCTTTGCTTTGATTTATAGATAGTTACCTTTTCAGGTTTATGCAGAAACACATTCATTACAGTTAGCATACAAAGGAAAAGAAGGGCACATTCATTACATATATCTATCTATCAGAATGCAAGAAACTGAAAGTTTTGAAGTTCAACGTGATTTGGCAAAATTCATCTATAGGCATGGACACAAAATAATCATATAAACACTGAATTACCGAAATTCCTAGAGATTTTCTATTCAAACCCTGCACTTCTCTTTATTTACCACAATACTTAAATCATTAAGCTGTAAGTTTTATTATTGTGTAAAAAAACAAAAAAGGTCATCCAACTTAATAATTAACCCTAGTACATCTATACACACACCCCCACTCTTCATATCAAGTTTTAGAAAAATACAAACTCATCTACATCATATTGCCAAATTACTCTTCTCTTTTAAAGACATAGAAAATTAACAAGCCTACCTCTTTAAATATGCGAGGGAGTTGATGGAAAGACTTGTTGATTATCAACTCAACAATACCCAAAAGTGTTGGAATTCCAGTTACAGTTCTTGAAGAGAGGTAAAGTTGTTCTCTTTCTCTAGAAAGTATTAAATTTCGGGTTTAGGGTTCTATTTGTTTGTGGTTTTTTTTGTTGGAAACAAAGAAAATTATGGGGTTTAAATAAAAAATCTCTTTTATTTCTTATTTTTTTAGTTTGTGGTGTATTTAAGGGAAGTTTGGGAAGATAGTGGGGTTTTCTTAGAAATTGTGAAAATTTAAATTAAAAGATGGGGTAAACTTAGAACATGGGGTGAACTAAGAGAAGTGTGAGGTTTAAATAGAAAATCTCAATTCCTATTATACAAGATAAAAATAACCTATATCTATTTTTCGATTCCTTAACTTCGTCATCATAACATAAAACACGTTTTTAGCGTATAGTATTTCGTCCATCTTAATTAACCATCTACTATTTATGAATAAAATGATATTTCTCTATACTTCGTTGGATAATATTCAAAGTTTGAATTTTTTCTGTCCTCAAATTAAAGACAAAAACTTTCTCATGTTTACATGAAAGGTTATAAATAGGGCAAACCAAATTTTATGAATCACATCTCTCTCACTACCTTTGGTTCTATAATATCGCACATGCATCACATTTTGTGTGACACTTTTAGTAATAATTTAATATTTAATTTTAGTTCTTATTCTTAGAGCTTAGAATAATAAAAGCCAACGACGTCGTTTAAGGGCAGCTAACTAAAGCAAAATGAACTAGAAGAGAAGAAACGAAACGCAACCGAAAGATTTTTTTTTTCTACGACGTGGTACAATCTCGTACGTTCATCATCAGCCCGACGCAAGCAATAATGCAATCATCAAGCAGAGTTTCCGAATCCAATGAGGTAATCAAATACAAACGGATAAAAAAGACAAAATCCCAAAGTGCCCCCACGGGTTCTCAAAATTTCAAATTTGAGCCACGTTTCTCCTCAACCCCAACCCCAACCCCATACACATCGACCGCCCGATCCCAAATATATAATCCCCAAACCAAAAACCTCACAAAACCAGACACACCTCTCCGAATCACACTCACGCAGACAATAGAGAGAGAGAGATGGAGGAGCAACAAGAGCACGAGGTTTACGGCGGCGAGATCCCAGCCGACGACGGCGAAGACGTCGACATGTCGTCCAGGGCCGACGACGACCAAGACTACAACGACGACCCTAACTCCAAGGTACTGCAATTTAGTCTCGTAAATCTCGATTGGTAGCTTCTTGTTTGTTTGGACCGGTTGGGTTGATTTAGGTTCGGTTTTTCGTTGTGATATAGGAGCTGGAGGACATGAAGAAGCGGCTCAAGGAGATAGAAGAAGAGGCCGGCGCTCTCCGCGACATGCAGGCCAAGGTCGAAAAGGAGATGGGCGCTGTTCAAGGTATCAATCCCCTCCCATTCATCCACAAGAAACCCAAGTTTTAGTGTTCTTTTTTGTTCTTGCTTTCTTTAGGTATTGTGGGCGTGATTTGTTGAGCTAGGGTTAGGCTGCATTTGATTCTTTTGTGGGTTTGAGCTCAGTGATAACTGTTTAGCTAATGCTAGGTCAGAATCCACTTTGTAGTCCTTTTGTGCTGTATGATTGGTGAATTCTTACATAAAAGCTTAAAAGAACATGGAAATTTGATTCTTTTGAATATTGATGCGTTGAACTGACCACGTTGTCACTTGGCACTGATTAATTGGGTGAATAACCCGAATTGGAAGGTTATTTATTTTGCACAATTGGAGTTTGGTAGGTTTGTTGTGTGTATGTGCACGGGCACGTGTACCGTCTCGAATGGTTATACTAGAGTTATTGTTCTCTTATATAAGATACTGTAAAGACAGGAAATTTTTAATTATTTCGAGTCTTGACGCGCCGACCCTGGTTGTTAGTTGTTTGTCGCTGATTAAATGGATCGATTGCCCAAGTTCCAAGGTTTCTCATATTGTATAATTGGGATTTTGTAGATTTTGTTCTGCATACGTGTACGCTTATCGTCTTGAATTTTTTTACGAGGAGTTACTGTCCTTTTATATAAGCCCGATTGGTTCTAGTGCATAACATTGTGTCTCTAATATGATAACTAACTGGATTCTCTTAGTTGCATCTCCACCCTCTGCCATTGTTGTCTAATTGTGCGTCATTTGTATTTTCTTTGTTGGTCAGCCCATCGAGGGCACCGTTGAATTATACATACAACGGTTCTTGTAGAATCTTTCTGTCATACAATAGGCTTTTATAATGTGTATCAGCAGTAGTTTTGAACTGTTCATGCTTTAAATGTGATAAAACATGATTTCCATGGTTTGATGGTGCTAGATTTTAAGTTTTACTTCAAGGTTTATTGTTTCAAGTAATGATATCTATCAATATTAGCTAATAGTTTTTGTTTTTATGTGTTTTGATTGTGAATGAAGATTCCTCTAGTGGGTCTGCAACTCAAGCTGAGAAGGAGGAGGTGGATTCTCGATCCATCTATGTTGGTAATGTGAGGCCCAACAATCCTATCTTTGTTTCATTTTAATTTGGAATTCATTATACTATATTTAGTGTGGCATGCTCTGCTCTACGTCTTTATCGTTTTCCTTATGAAAATTAGTTCTTGGAGGGATCAATATTTTAGAATTAGAAGATATCATAGTTTAGGATATCACTCAGTTTCCTAGCAGACATTTTATTTGTTGCTTTTGGAGTTCCCTAGGACTAAGTAGCATCCATAGAGTTTGTTTGTTGCCCTTTTTTGCATTTACTCTGTGATTGTTATGTTTCTTTAGATTTTTTTTCCTGTGGGCTGCAAATTATTGAAGGTTTCTTAGCCTGATTAAGTTGTAGTTTGAGATTTGAATTTCATGTAGCCATCTATCTTCCATAGCCATGCTATCTTGAAAGAACTAGTTTAGATAATTTCTGGTGCAGATAGAGTTGGGTTGATAAACTTAAAAAGTTTAATGATATTTGGTATTCATTAATGTATAATTCAAAACAATTTAAAACAATTTACCCCAGCATCTTTAAGTTAGCTCTATGTAGTTTTTGAGATGCAGTCTCAAATTAGTTTGATTTCCTTTGTGTTTTGATTAAGTTCAACTGCAATAGGTCCAACGTTCTTTCTAAATTGTAACCATATGTGATATTTTATATCGTCTCTGGAAGCCTCAAGACCAAGAGTGAGAACTTCGTTTGATTTTAACTTCAGGTCGACTATGCATGTACTCCTGAGGAAGTCCAGCAGCATTTTCAGTCTTGTGGAACTGTGAACAGAGTTACAATTTTGACCGACAAGTTTGGTCAACCAAAAGGATTTGCTTACGTTGAGTTTGTTGAAGTTGATGCTGTTCAGAATGCTCTCCTGTTAAATGAATCAGAATTGCATGGCCGTCAATTGAAGGTACTTGATTTATTTTATATAGATAGTTCTCTATACTCATTCGAATTAGAGTAATAATTTTTTGGTCAATCATTTGAGCTATAGTGATTGGTTTTGGTATATTCACAGGTCTCTGCTAAGCGGACAAATGTTCCTGGAATGAAACAGTATCGGGGAAGGCGTCCTAACCCATTTTTTCGATCTCGGAGGCCCTTCATACCTGCTGCACCTTTCTTTCCTGCGTATGGTTATGGGTAAGCCCTAGGATCTCTTTGTTCTACTTGGTTGCCTTTAAGGAAGTCAAAGAGGCATGCGAATTTGGAAATTACTATTTCTCTCCATCAAATTCATCCTTTACTTGCCTTATGACCATTTAGTGTGCTTGAGTGTAGATTTTAGATTCGTATAAGACACACAATATATGTGAAATGATATAAGGCCACACAACATGCGCTGCTGAGAGTATATAGACTTTAGTGATATTATTTGAACTAAAGGTAATATTGTACTTTGCATGCCTCACACACTTCTGAAAAAAATAATAAAAAGGAGAAAAAAATGAATAAGCGGAAACTGCCAAAACTAGAAACTATGACAATCTTAAGCGCCTAGTGAATTTCTCCTAGGCTGTGCGGCAGGTCCTTTGACAAATTGACCAGGCTGCAATATTGGCAGCTTGTTTGTGTTATTTCCTTAGCTGCACTGCTGGAAACTGTAGGTTTTTGTTTGTCTTGCTCACTCTGAGATACAAATAAGATTGTTTCTATACTTATGCATTCATTTGTTTTTTCTTGTATGCAGGAGGGTTCCAAGGTTCAGGCGGCCCATGCGATATAGACCATACTAATGATGAATAACATCACCAGGTGGCCACGTTATGTGAAGGGGCCATGTATGTTTTATTATGGTCATATACCATTCTAATTGTGCAAGAGCCATTTATGTTTCATTATGGTCGTATCTATAGTTTTGGGAACTGGAGAAAAGAAGTTGAACCATCATTTGCATGGCAGAGGCCAACTTGATTCTTTCTCAAATTTGTAGTGCACAAAATGGTTTAGTTCATGTGTGGAGGGGATGAAAGAAGGCAGATATGCAAATGCTGTATTAGAGATGAGTCCTTTTTACAGAATTCTGTGCTAGATTTGTAGTTTTAAGATCAGTGTGGATGTTTTTTTTCAACATTGAAGGAAGTGTTTATGCATTCAATTTTATGAATTCGAGTAGTGAATTATCAATATAAAGTTGTCTTTTTTTGGTCAAGACAAAAGTTTGTTTGTCCAAATGACATGATGTGGGCATATATTTTCCAATAAAATATACGCAGGTGGAGGATTTGTGCAGAACAGGAAGTGTTTCAAATTGATTCTAGCCTCCGTTCTTGAATGAAGCTTGTGAAATTGGACCGAGTCTATTGTGTGTCGATTGCTTATGAATGGGATCTGTTTATAGCCCTTGATGTGAATTCCAACAGATTAAATCACATTCTTAGGCATCCTCATCCCAGGATATCTTCTCAAAATGAGTTTAGGTCTGAACAAGCTAGACAAGTAACGTTGGTTGTTACATCGCAATATCTTCTTGTTTCAAAATCAATTTTGATACAAGCAAACAAAAACACTATCCCATCCTATCAGCTGGGATCTCAAACTCGAGAAATTGTTTTAATGACACTGAATTTCTACTGAATATCAATATACCATGAGCGCATCTGCGTTTGTATTAGTTTAGACCATCACTTGTATTCCAAAAAAAGAGCGGAGCAGGTTGGGGTGGGGAGTGTTTCAATTTTATTTTTTTCGCCTAAAAAAAATATTTATTATTTTGTTGGCTAAAAATTAATCAAGTAGCAATTTTGAGATTGGGCTCAGACCAAGGCAACGCCGGCTTGGCCCATCTCCGCTGCTTTAGTTGTTATGACTGTTACGGATGCTACTACAAGTTAAAGTAGAAGGGAGGGAGAATACCAGAAAATCGCTCGCAAAATCTGATATCTGAGTGCGTGGGAGGCTTGAAATTGAATGGCGTCTGGCACAGAGAGTGACGAAACAGCCGATACTCCACCCTTGTAAGCAAACCCACCTTCTTCCTCTTGGCTTTCAAATATATATAATTGTTTTTACTTTTTATTTTTCTTCTGATTTATATGATTTTTTGTCGATATCCTAAACTTTCCTGGGGTTTGTGGGAGTTCATTTTATCTTAATTAATTTCTCAAACGTTTTACCCATTTGATTGGAACAGAGAAAGAACTTGTTCAATTTGATTGATTTCTACTGGTAATTGCAGGACAAATACCATATACAAGGACCCAGATGACGGCCGACAACGCTTCTTGCTTGAATTGGAATTCGTCCAATGTCTTGCAAATCCCACCTACATTCACTGTACTCACCTTTCACTTCGCTATTTTTCTTTCTTTTTGCATTTACTCTATCTTCATGGACATGCAGCATTGTTATAAAAGTACCTTATTCTTTGTCTATTTGCTACAGATTTGGCTCAAAATCGTTATTTTGAAGATGAGGCTTTCATTGGGTACTTGAAATATCTTCAATATTGGCAGCGTCCTGAGTATACGAAATTTATAATGTGAGTGAAAACCCATGTCTTATAATAACTTTGTGGTCATTTTTGTATTTTAAAAAAAAAAAAAAAAAACTTTGTGGTCATTTTGAGTTCATTGACTGGTCTAACGTTCTTTTATAAGGGTTTTTTTTTTCTTTCCACCCTTGATATAATTTCCTGTAACTATTTAGGTATCCTCATTGCCTATTTTTTCTTGAGCAACTTCAAAATGCCAACTTTCGCAACGCAATGGCCCATCCTGCCAACAAGGTCAATTTCTGATGCTTCTATGTTGTTCCCTTTTGAGTCACTTCTGGAATGATGTTTTTCTCCCGTAAAATTTAAAGTGTTTGGAGCTATATATTGGAGTTAGCAGTAAATTCATCTGGTTCTTGTAACTTTTAGGAATTGGCACATAGGCAGCAATTCTACTTCTGGAAGAACTATAGGAACAACCGTTTGAAACATATATTACCGAGACCCCTTCCTGAACCTGTTGCTGCACCTCCTACTCCTGCTCCACCTCAGCAACCTGTGCCTCCTGTGCCAGCTACAACTGTTTCGGTGACAGCAAATGCTCCAGCCCCTTCTCCTATGCAGTATGCTGTACCCCCGGGGTCTGCTCTTGCAAAAAATGAAGCAAGGAATAGTGGGGTTGATCGAAGAAAGAGGAAGTATGTTGATTCTTTTATTTTATTTTTTTCGTCATTGTGGAAGCACAAGTTTTCTGCAATTTTTAACCAAAAAACCATACTAGATCAGTGTCCTGATTTATGCATGTGGTTATTACTATAGGAAAGAAGGTTAACTTGACAATATCATACATAATAACAGCAATGGAAAATATATCAGGTGAGGTAAGTTTTAATTTCTTGATCTTCAGGCTTATGAGATTAGCATTATTTCTTATTCAAAATCTATGATACAATGATCAAGCTCATATGATAAGGTCCAAGTTTTTCAAATATGGTAGATAATTGTATAGCATTATGATAAATGTCTAATATCCACCCTTTCTGCATTTTTCTTTTGCTTCTTTGATAGTGATTGGCGAATTCATGACATCTTTATGCTCTATGAAATTCTTGGTTAGAAGTAGTCTTCAGTAACTTGTATATCTGATTCCGCATGTTCCATCAGATCAATTATGTATTTTTCAATGCCAGGGGAAAAAATAAAGAACCAAAGAAGTTTTCTTTTTCGTTCCATGGCTGACTCCCATTTTCTTCTTTGGTGCAAACTGGGCAGCTGTGCCAGGTCTTTGTGAACATGTCATGCCACTCCTAAGTGTTCATCATGTTACAGTTTTTTTTCTTTCTCCTCCCCACCTTTTATATGGCGATGATGATGTGCTCTTATTAAACTACACCTCTCAGGATGAGAACAGCTACTCTGTAGTTGTTCTTTGAGCAGATCTAGTAAAACATCTGAGCCATTTGGCGGGAGTGAATTATAAGATGCTTATTTCAGCTTCACATCCTGCCAGGCTTATTGTTTGGAAGGGGCTGGGTTTTATTTATTTATTTATTTTAAATCTTTGATGTTTTGGTTGGGGGTAGGGTGGGGACTTTAATTTTTGTTTGGTCTACACATGAGGAAAATGCGTTGTGGTAATGGGGTCCTTTGTATCAAGTGTCTTGCACAATGTTCATTCAAATTAAAGTATGTGCACAAGTATTCTAAATGCAATTGCATTCGTACCGTTTTTGTTGACCATTTGGGTTTATGACAGAATCTTGGCACGTTTAAAATTCACAACATTATGAAATCTTCCGAAGAAATAGCCTTTGGCTGGGATGTATAAGTATTTCTATAACATTTTATATGTGTAAACCATATTTCATGCTTTTATCTATTCATTTTGAAAGTTTTGTCACTGATTGTAGGAGAATGGTCAAGAACTGAAGGTGCAGGACNGATTGTAGGAGCATGGTCAAGAACTGAAGGTGCAGGACTTTCCATCTTTCAGAGAGATTTTGACATTATAATGTTAGTTCCTTTGAGACACTTTATGAGCACACGTGGGAGTTGAGTGAGACTGTGACCATAGCCCAAAACTTTTAGAAGATCATCTGGTAGTTATCTTTGTACTGAATTGTATACCTAGTAAGTTGTAAGATTGCCTACTTATGGTTGGAATAGATTGCTTGGAGGATAATTTATTTCCTCGAATAGTTTCGATTTAGTTGAGGTGCCTAACTCAAAAATGTCCTCTGATTGTGTTGTCAATCAATTTGCTTGTTGTTGGTCTGAGTCGAATGATTTTGGTTTGCCTTTTGTTTTTCTCCCAATGAGAACTCCTCCATGGTCTAAGAAAGTGGTTGGCTTACAAGAAAAACTGTTTTCATCTTAGTCAGGGCAAAATTGCAGACGGAACTGATCAGATCATATTGCGAATTAATGGTTTGATTTGTTAAATTGTGTTTCTTTCAATGTCTCCTCCAAGCTGATGTACCAAATCCCAGCAACATTCTCTATTGAATTCTAAGATACAACATTAATTTGCTGAAAACCAGGTTATCGATGGATTTGTGCAGAACATGAATTGTTTCTCGAGACGCTGGCTGATAGGACACGTAATGAAAACGTTAAAAAGATGGTGTGTTTGTTCTTGGCATTGCTTACTTGCAGAACAACCAAAGCGAAATTGAGTTTTGATAGCACAACACAAATGGAAGCGTTGTTTGTATAATCTAGTAGGGTAAAAACGACATTGTCTATTTAGCCTTATTCACGATTTGACCCCGACCGAGGTCTGTTGTCTGTCTTATTGGAAATTTGCCAATTGGTCCCTTTTTCAGTTGAGACCTGTTCGGATACTCTCAAGCTCAGCTCTAATTTTCCATAGCCTTCTTTATTTTATTCAACTCCTCACCTTCCTTTTCAAAGCATATCTGTCCACCTCATCCCCAATACGCGGCGAAGCGTTGGTCCAACTTAGGAACCTGGCCCACGTCAATTCCCACGCCACGTGGATAATACTGATTGGCGATTGCTCATCTGACTCCAGTTAAGTCTGAGTTGTCGTGACGTAAGGTGTTACAAGGGAAGTTAGGAAGGGGATGGATTGGGATGCCACGTCATCCTCCGATTGTTGAACTGCCCAGATACGCCTTCTTCCAAACTACGTGGATGCCAAATATAATAATTGTAATAGAAAAAAAATTCATTTGTTTATAGAAACAACGGTCATTATATGCATGCGCATCAATTTCACGTGAAAATCTGCCCCCCTAATTTCTGCTACGGTGAATCTAAATAGCTGGCTTTGCTTGACTACTGTATATATTTACCATTATGCCCTTGAAGGTCAATAGTAACACATCAGCTTAGTGCTGTGATTGACCGAGCTCCTCAAGCTTATCCCTACAATTTGGTTACACACATCTCTCTCTCTCTCTCTCTTTCTTTCTTTCTCCAAAATCTCTAAGCAAATCCGTAACATCACCAACAGTAGCTGGCTGGCACCTTCATTTTCAACCACTCTTTCCCTATATATACTCACCAACCACTTCACTCTTTTTTTCATCACCGCTTGCTTAGCTCTCTTTGTCGTCTTCAATTTTCACCTTCTCACAAATCCCATTGCGTTATTTTGGCCACCATCCAATTTTGATTCCCTTTGGCTTGGAGTTCTCCTTCGGTATCTTGAAAAGTTTTCCCATCACTTTCTCTTTTCTTGGTAGTCTCTGTTTTTGAGTTTTGTTGGAAGCCATGAACGCCCTCGCCGCAACAAGCCGCAATTTTCGCAACGCTGCTCGTATTCTTGGATTGGATGCTAAGATTGAGAAGAGTCTCTTGATCCCTTTCAGAGAGATCAAGGTTCATCTGCTGTTTCTTTCTGGTCTTTTGATTAAAGTTTGATTATAATCTGATAAGTTGTGATTGTTTCTCGAGAAATTGTTGAACTTTGTCTGTTGTGGTGGATAAGGTGGAGTGCACAATTCCGAAGGACGATGGAAGCTTGGTTTCGTACGTTGGATTCAGAGTGCAACATGATAATGCACGTGGACCAATGAAGGGAGGGATCAGATATCATCCTGAGGTGATGTGTTTCGTTTTGTTTCTGTTAGGTTTTTGTCTTTTGCGTTGTTCTTTTTCATGATCTGTTTATTTTGTGTTCTGCATAATGTCATTTGGGTTTTGGGGGGTTTTTGGATTTTCTTTGTGGATCCAATGATTTGATTGCTTTCTGAGATAAAGCTGAAAGATCATCATACTTTACAAAAAGGTCAGGAGGGAAGAGTAATAATTCAAGATATAAACTTTGAGTCCTAACTTTTGGTCACTAATCGAATTGGTATAATGTGCAAAAATAAATAAATTTTACATGAAGAAATATATAGTGTAAGACCAAATAGCAATAAATTATGCTTTTGGGTATCTGTATTGTGTTTTGGCTTACAAAAGTCAGCTAATTGGTTTGGCTAAACAGTTCATGTGCAAAGTAATCATTCAAGGTTCTGTCTTTCCACAGGTCCCTTAAGTAGTTATGTTTTCAACAAATGTCATTTTGCTTGTTTATTTGTCACTTAGCCTTTCTTCTTTTCTTATGAGAACTGAGAACCCAGATCCCAGATCATTCCCCCTGTTTCGTGCCAACAATATGCAATGTTTCACATTTCTCTAGTCCAGTCCACATTTCTAGGAGATGATTTCATATAGAACCTCTGCCTGGGCTTTAAAAAAGTTTGAAACCAGCAGCATAAATTAGAGAAATGTATATGCTTTTTTGTGAATTCTATATTGAAAGTTTTCTTATTTGGTTTTTAAAGGTTGATCCGGATGAAGTAAATGCCCTGGCTCAACTTATGACCTGGAAGACTGCTGTGGCGGACATTCCATATGGTGGAGCGAAGGGTGGAATTGGATGCACCCCAAGGGAGTTAAGTAAAAGTGAGTTGGAGCGTCTGACTCGTGTCTTCACTCAGAAAATCCATGATCTCATTGGAACTCATACTGATGTTCCTGCACCTGATATGGGCACCAATGCTCAGACAATGGCATGGATTTTGGATGAGTACTCCAAATTTCATGGTCACTCACCAGCTGTTGTGACTGGAAAGCCCATTGTAAGTACTGAACACTGTGAAATTGGGACACATGAGTAACATATAGAATTCTCTCATTCTTATCTAAGTTGTCTCTTGTGTTTGTGTTTTTAGGATCTTGGGGGATCACTAGGTAGGGAGGCTGCAACTGGACGTGGTGTTGTTTTTGGAACGGAAGCTTTACTTGCAGAATATGGGAAGTCAGTTAAAGATTTGACTTTTGTTATTCAGGTAGAATCCATTTGACATTGTCTTCTTTGTTAAAAACGTTTTGTGATCATATCAAAAATGATTGTTTGGTGAACTTTTATAGGGTTTTGGAAATGTGGGATCCTGGGCAGCAAGGCTTATACAAGAGAGAGGTGGTAAGGTTATTGCTGTGAGTGACATCACTGGCGCAATTAAGAACCCAAATGGAATTGATATCACAGAGTTGATTAAGCACAAGGAAAGCACTGGGAGTTTATTAAATTTCGGTGGTGGAGATAACATGGACCCTAATGAACTGCTAGTACATGAATGTGATGTTCTCATCCCTTCTGCTTTAGGAGGAGTTCTGAACAGGTTTAACCCTTTTACCAACAAACTCACTGCTTTCCTTGGTGTTTCTTATCCTATGTTTTGCATCATCAATTCTCTTCCTTCTCCTCTCTCTTTCCCTCCCTTCATCGACAAAAGAGGTAGTTTTTTAATTGCACTTATATAATTCCACTTATTTTACTTATATCCGTCATTCTGCTGTAAAGGGAAAATGCTTCATCTGTGAAGGCCAAATTCATTGTTGAGGCAGCAAATCACCCTACTGATCCAGAAGCAGATGAGGTATTATTGCATATTCTTTCTTCTGAGATTTTAAGTTGGAGAAAAAGACAGTTACAATTCTGATGGATGATTTCTAATTGATGCAGATTCTATCCAAGAAAGGAGTTATAATACTCCCAGATATATATGCAAATGCTGGTGGTGTGACTGTTAGCTATTTTGAGTGGGTTCAGGTGACTGACAGAGGAAAAACTTTATCTCCTATTGATTTTTCTGAGTTTGATTAGGGACATAATTTAACATGCTGAAATTTGATTATATTTTGTCACAGAATATTCAAGGTTTTATGTGGGACGAAGAGAAGGTAAATAATGAGCTCCAAAGGTACATGACTCGGGCCTTCCATAACATCAAGAACATGTGCAAGACCCACGAGTGTAATCTCAGAATGGGTGCCTTCACATTGGGTGTAAACCGGGTTGCGCGTGCCACCGTCTTAAGGGGTTGGGAAGCATAAAGAGCTTCTGTCAGTCTGTTGGTTTTCTTCTTTATCTCTTCAATACACAGTCACAGCCGAGGGCTGAAGAGGCAGCTTGAAGCCATTCTTAGCAACCTCCAAAATTCTCTGTTCTCTTTTTCCGCAGTTAATTGTGGCATTTTTTGGCAGATTTTGTATCGATTAGAGGAAGTGACTAATGAAGAAAAATATGATTTTCTTGTTGCAATGTGGCTGAAATGATAATTTGGTGGTTGCTATTCTTATCCTTGTATTAGTGTTGTTATCATTTGACTTAAAGTTAATTAGTCAGGTGAATTTGGCCACAATTTCTGGTTCACTGTTGGCTTTGAAAGAATGATTGTCCTTTGGCCTCCCTTGTTTATAAAATATAAAGAAAATCCAACTGAATTTATCCACCCAAGTTTTTATAGATAGTTTGCACCAAGTCTAGAGTGATTTAAACTATAAAGATTCAGTGAAAAATGCATATTAAATTTCTTGCTAGCAATTTTTACCAATTCTTTAAAAAAATGCAAATGGTTAAAGCAGATACACTAAAGAGTTTGCCCATAACTTCACTGACAAAAATAAGGAAGGGAAGATAAGCTTTCAAATTCCCAAGCATGGGCTTCCTCCCTACTTTCTATCTATAAGATCATTTTGATAAAAAGAAAAGAACAACAAACTGAAGCACCAAACTAGCAAGAACAAAGGAGGAGAGCTACCTTAAGGCATGGCTTCCTTGGCCATTTCTGCTTCATTGCAAACAGTTTGCAGCTCACATCAAGCCACTAAGAAACAACAGCCCCAATCCAGACCAGCTGCTCGCTCATTGGGGACAAAAGAGGCCACCCATCATGTTGTTGCGCTGGATGTGAAAGCTCAAAATTGTTTAAACATAGAGAAGCAAGAGAAGTCTGCTTTACGCATCGATAGGCCTGAGGCAGAGGATGCTGCAGACTACAAATCACAGCATGGTTTGGGTACAGAATTGCCTGTTGTGAAGTTCAACGACAAGCGGTGGAAGAAAGGGACATGGGATCTAAATATGTTTTCCAAGGATGGCAAGTTGGACTGGGATGGCATCATTCTAGCAGGTGCTCTGCTCTAATTGGTCTTTCTCAGATTTATCACAAAAGTTGTGTTTCTATTGAAATATTCATGTTTTATATAGGCTAATTGGTCTATGTTTGTGTCCTATTTTAACTTTTTTATACATTGCATTAAAAAAATTGTTTATTTTATATGTATTGGCAATTTGGCACTACAGAAGCAAAGAGGAGGAAGTTTCTTGAGCTTCACCCAGAATCAGCTACCAACGACGACCCGGTTGTGTTTAGGAGCTCCATCATACCATGGTGGGCATGGATGATGAGATCCTATCTCCCGGAGGCTGAGCTGATCAATGGTTGGTTCCGATCATCGATCACTTCACACACACTTGCACTTCTTAGTTCTTAGAAATTTGCATGCATTTCTTGCTGCATGCATTGCATTATTATATTTCTTAGTTCTAATTAGAACTACGTATCTTTTGCTGCATGAACTATTTTGGATATAGGTCGAGCGGCAATGGTTGGGTTCTTCATGGCATATGTTGTAGATGCTTTGACAGGGCTTGGTGTTGTAGGACAAACTGGCAACTTCATATGCAAGGCAGGGTTCTTTGTGGCAGTCATTGCCAATGCATGCATTTCTTGCTGCATGCATTGCATTATTATATTTCTTAGTTCTAATTAGAACTATGTATCTTTTGCTGCATGAACTATTTTGGATATAGGTCGAGCGGCGATGGTTGGGTTCTTCATGGCATATGTTGTAGATGCTTTGACAGGGCTTGGTGTTGTAGGACAAACTGGCAACTTCATATGCAAGGCAGGGTTCTTTGTGGCAGTCATTGCCATAATATTCATCAGGCGAACCCAAGTTTTTGAGAACCAAAAGAAGCTAGCTGATGAAGCTACTTTTTATTACAAGCAATGGCAAGCTTCGTGGATAGATCAAAATGCAACAAGTGGCTCTTTAGATCAAACTGGAAAGAAAATTTAAGCCTGCCTTCCAAAAGAAATTGTATTTATCTTACTAGTTGGACCACAGAATGGTTTGTTAAGCTCTAGTATTAAATTACAATGACATAATCTAAATATTTTGATTGACCTAAAATCATTGTTTTCAACTCCAGTGCTGGTCAATGATCAATCCATAAACCATTCAAATTTACAATCCCCAAATTTTCTGCTTAATTTTTTTTCCCTCTTATAACATTGGAGACCCAATTGACATTTCACTGCCTTATGCATTGTTCGTTTTTGAGACGGTCGTTGTGACATACGGTGGTCTAAGTTATGATAACTTGTTTGACTCCATGGTGGATGCATTACATGCTGCATTGGAGAAAGCAGGGGCGCCCCAAGTCCAAGTGGTGGTGTCCGAAACATGCTGGCCCTCCGATGGAAATAGGAAGGTGACAACACGTGACAACACCAGCCACAAATGTACAACTCGAACCAAATAAGCCACACGTTTATCCAATCAGTTTTCTGTGAACAAAAATTAAAGGACAAAGCATGGTTTCAGTAACTTATGCGATCGATTATACAATTAGCTCAAAGAGCAATTAGAAAGCGTGTTTCTGGTCATAATTAGAATGTGATTGTCTCCAAATAATGCAACATTGTAAGATTTTTTGACACTAGTCTCAGTTTTTCTTTGTGTTATCCAATTTCACTCTCTCTTCTTTTCTTTTGGTCTGTTTTTGCCCTAATACTTTTGACGTGATAAGGTAAATTTAAGACAAGTTCTTTTTTCTATATTCAAATTTTGCACCATTCGATGTCATCTATTGGTTCTTTTTATTTTTGTATTCGTTTGATGAAGACATGGTATTCGATTTTGGGCCAGTCCTGACTCAGCAGCCGAACGGGAATCTCATTACAAATGGCAAAAATATAAAATTGTGATCAAGAGTCAAAATAACGTGTCGAATAAAATTATCCCCTCAAATGTTGGATAGAGAAAAGGGTTGATTTGTAGGCCAAAGAAAGATCAAATAATGATATAAGTCAGTGCCCCAACATTTTCCACTCAAAAGTTATTGTTCATGCACTTTACACAATATAACTGGATGAAGATAACCATGAGAGCTGTCTTCCTTCTGTTCAGGTTTCTAAGCACTATTTTAACCATAACTATTAGTCTATTAGTATTGGTTTGTGCAATAGGAATCTGGGATTTGCTCGCAAAGAAAGTGAAAGACAAGCTGTGCAGTTAAAAAAATTAAAATACGGTGTATCAAACGAGCCCTTATACTATTTAGTAAAAAAATTAAAATTAAAAACAAGACCCATCTAGCCCCTAGCACCTAGGCGGCCGATTATATTTTTTATTTTTAAATAATATAGCCGCGCGGCTATATTATAAATTTTTAAAAAATTAAAAAACCGCAGTATAGCCGTGCGGCTATACTAAGACCCCAGTATAACTTTATCTAATAGTGCTAAGGCGGCCGATCTTTATTTTAATTTTTTTTTAAAAAGAGTATAGCCAAGCGGCTATACAAGGGTCTTAATTTCTCACTTTACACCTTGAATCTAAAATTTTCTCACTTAACCCTCTAAACTGAAAAGTTCGGCCACTATATAATATTTTAACATAATTTATTTAAATAATTTAATATATATTATTTTTATTCAATAATATGTAAAAATTATGTATATAATACGTGAATTTTGTGTGCATTAATGAAAATTTTATAAAAAAACACATGTATTAAGCATGAAAAATACGTATGTATGTGTATTGTACGTTTGCTTTTAAAAAAAAATGTGTATTTTACCAAGTGTTTAAGACGTGTAAGAAAAACGGAAGTATTATTAAAAAATACATACATACGTGTATAATACGAGTATTATTGGAGAGGGTCAATTAACCGGAAGAATAGTTGTACTACTGGAGATGTCAAAATATAGCCCAGCACTATTCCTTAAAAAACTATAAATGTGTGCTAAAATTTATTGGTGGGCTATGTTTAGCCCTCCACGTACAGTTGGAGATGGCCTAAGGTAATGATATCATTCGTCCTCTTAATTGCCTTAACACAAGTCAAGTCAACATACATCCTTAACGTTATGAAATATTTTGTTATGAAAATTCTAATCACAAAAGTCACTATGATAGCCCCCTCCATGATTCTTTCTTAATTTTGGATGACCCAATCAAAACCTTGTCTACTTATCGCACATCCATTCTTCCATTACAAAATTTCCACGAGTCTTCTCATCCATTACTCCTCAACTCAATCAACTTCCTATTCAAACCCAAGAAATAAGTTTGTCTACTTATCGCACATCCATTCTTCCATTACAAAACTTCCACGAGTCTTCTCATCCATTACTCCTCAACTCAATCAACTTCCTATTCAAACCCAAGAAATAAGAAAAAAGAAAAGGAAAAAGAAAAAGTGATTATTTGATTTGGATACTCTTCATCATGCATCTTGCTTTCATCTATCAAGTCGATCAATATAGTGTGATCCAAACTAATCGAAAATTCCAAAATTTATTCAATTACTTAAGTCAAGTCAATACTCACCCACTTAATTGCATTGTGTGACAAGACCCGCCCTGAATTCCTCAGAATTCGTGATGAATCTTGTGATTTTTTCCGACATCCAATTGATGTCGGCCCCACTTACAAATTTTAAACATCCTTTTCCCCTAAAACAAAGAAAAAGAGGGTCGAGACTTCTACCTAAATTTCGGCAGAATCTCCCATGAACAACGGACTTTACCACATATATGCCACATCAACAAACTAATGGAGTTTTTTAAAAACAATTTAAAAATCATAAAATTTAAAAATGAAAAAACCATTTATAGAAGGATTTTAACCTTCAGGACCATTTATGAACCATAAATCCTTGGTTTTTTCATTTTTAAATTTTTTTTTTAAAAAACTCCATTAGTTTGTTGATATGGCATATATGTGGAGCCTACATCTCCAATAATATAGTGTCACGTGTATTTAAAATATAATATATATTTTTAAATAATTTAAAATTCATAAAATTTTAAAAATCAAAATCAAAATAAAAATTTATGAATTTTAAATGAAAAAATCAAAAAAATTTGCAGGGACCATTTGTGATAGGTGTGTGAACCTTAGGATGTTTTGTGATATATATGCCACGTTAGCAAACTAATGGAGTACGGAACCTAACGGCAGGGGCCATTTGTGAACACCCATACTAACCTTGAGGACCACGAATGACAAAAAAAAAAATGAAGGATGCAATCTGATAGTTTCGTAAACCTTAGGGACGTTTTGTGATATTAAGCCTTTGTTTTATACAAAAAAAAAGTCACCCTGCTTTTAATGTGTCCTCTTTTTTTTCTTCTTCCTCTAGAAGAGCCCTGCCTGCCTGCCACTGATGGAGATGGATTTAGAAAATTTGGTTCTCCTTTTGTTTTGACTTAGTCAAGACATTAATACATGCCCTTCCTGGCCTGGTATATAGCTTATTGTCCATGGCTCATTATTCATACATACACATGGAGAGAACAATGAAAGCTGTTTTACTTGTCAGGTTTTTAACTATTGCAACCATTACAATTGGTATTGGTCTATGCAATGAAAATCTGGGTGCCACTTCCAAAGAAGGCGAAAAACAAGCACTTCTGAAGTTCAAGCAAGATGTTGAGGATCCTTCAAATCGGCTTTCGTCATGGTTTGGTGAAGGAGACTGTTGCAATTGGACTGGAGTTGTCTGTCATAACTTAACCGGTCGCATCAGTGAGCTCCATCTTGGTAATCCCAACTCGTGGTCGCATCTCGACCTTCAGTCTCAGATAGATTTCAACAATAAATCAACTTGGTTGGGTGGTAAGGTAAATCCTTCTTTGCTCAATTTAAGTCATCTCAACTACTTGGACTTAAGTTACAATAAATTTCAAGGTACACCGTTTCCTAGCTTCTTAGGTTCTCTTAAAAGTTTAAGATATCTTAACCTCTCAGAAGCAGGGTTCCAAGGGATAATTCCTCCTCAACTGGGAAATCTCTCAAATCTGCATTATCTCGGTCTCCGTCAAAGGAAGTTGAAGGTTGAGAATCTTCAATGGATTTCTGGTCTCTCTCACTTGACACACCTAGACATGAGTTATGTTGATCTTAGCAAAGCCTCTGATTGGTTGCAGTTGACAAACATGCTCCCCTCTTTGGTAGAGTTACGTATGATCAGTTGTAGACTTCATCACATTCCCTCTCTAGGTCTAGCTACCATAAATTTTACTTCACTTTCCACCCTTGATCTTTCTGAGAATAAATTTAATACTTTGGTGCCTAGGTGGGTTTTTAGTCTTAAAAATCTAGTTTCTCTTCATCTCAGAGCTTGTGGTTTCCAAGGTTCAATTCCTAGTCGTCAACAAAATATCACTTCTTCTTCTTCTCTCACAGAAAATGATCTTTCGTTGGAAAATCTTTGTAAGTTGGTGGATCTTGATATGTCAAGCAACAATTTCATTGGAAATGTATCAGAAATCTTGGAGAGTCTGTCTTTGTGTAGTTCAGATCGTATTGAGTCATTGCTATTAGGGTACAATAATCTTTCAGGCCATTTAACGGAGCATCTAGGAGATTTTAAAAATTTAAGGCGCCTTCATCTCTCTGCTAATTCAATATCAGGTCCTATCCCAGAGTCCTTAGGAGACCTATCATACTTAATGGAATTGACCATTCCTGACAACCAGTTTAATGGAACTCTCCCACAAAGTATTGGTCAACTCAAAATGCTTACCTTTTTGGACATATCTTATAATTCATTTGAAGGTGTAGTGTCTGAGGTTCATTTTACTAACCTCACAAAATTGGAACATTTCATTGCAAGAGGAAACTCATTGACTCTCAAAACTAGTCGAGACTGGCTTCCTCCTTTTCAACTTCAGCGCCTATGGTTGGACTATTGGCACCTAGGGCCAGACTTTCCAATGTGGCTTCGGAAGCAAACACAATTGGTGGTTCTAAGTCTACCAAATACAGGAATTTCAGATACCATCCCGACTTGGTTTTCGAACATATCTTCCCAGTTGTTGTCTCTAAATCTCTCTCACAACCAACTGTATGGGGAGATTCAAAACATAGGTGGCAGGCTTCGGTCATCAATTGACCTAAGTTCTAACCAATTCACCGGTTCGTTACCTTTGGTTTCCTCCACAGTAGGTACACTAGATCTTTTTCGAATTCATCATTTTCTGGATCTATCTTCCACTTCTTTTGTGATAGGATGAGTGAACCAAAAGAACTTTATTCTCTTTATCTTGGGGAAAATCTTCTCAGCGGAAACATTCCTAATTGTTGGATGAATTGGAAAAACTTGGTCGTCTTAAACTTAAAAGGCAACAATTTAACTGGGAATGTTCCAACCTCCATAGGATTCCTACACAAGTTGACATCATTACAGTTGCATGATAATCAGCTGTCTGGAGAATTACCTTTGTCCATGCAAAACTGCACGAGTTTATTAGTTGTTGATCTTGGAAAAAATAAGCTTGTTGGAAGCCTGCCAATATGGATGGGGAAAAGCCTTTCAAATTTGAAGGTTCTTAACATTCGTTCAAATGAGCTTCAAGAAGACATTAATTCCTCATGAACTTTGTTATCTGAAAAATCTCCTAATCATGGACCTGGCAAATAATTCCCTCTCAGGAACAATTCCAAGATGCTTCCACAATTTTAGTGCAATGGCCGCCTTGACAATATCAAACACGCCCATTTCAATAGCCGAATATGTTATGGATAATGTGATGTTGGTGACTAAAGGGAGAGAAATGGAGTATTATTTCAAAATGCTTAGATTGGTAATAAGCATAGACCTTTCAGACAACATCATATCTGGGGAGATCCCAGAAGAACTGGCCAGCCTCCTCGGCTTGCGATCATTGAATTTATCGAAAAATCTTTTGACCGGAAGCATTCCTTCAAAGATTAGTAACATGAAATGGTTAGAATCTGTGGATTTGTCAATGAACCAACTTGATGGTGAAATTCCTCAAGGCATGAGGAGTTTGACATTTCTGAGTCATTTAAACCTGTCCTACAACAATTTCACTGGACAGATTCCAAAAAGCACTCAGCTGCAGAGCCTTGATCAGTCTAGCTTTATTGGCAATCATCTTTGCGGACCTCCACTCAACGACGATTGCGGTACTGCAAATAGGATGATTCCACCAACACTTGAGCAAGACAGAGGATACCATTTACTTGAAGACAAGTGGTTCTACCTCAGCTTGGGAATAGGATTCGCGTTGGGGTTTTGGAGTGTACTAGGTTCTTTACTGGTGAATATGCCATGGAGCATTCTTCTTTCTCAATTCCTCAATAACATTGTATTTAAACTTCATGCTGTAATTGTTAAATTTATTAGCTAGTTTTGTACATTGCAATAAGACTTGCTTTATAAACAAGTCTAAATATGCACTGAGGTTGTTAAGGTCTTTTCTGTTATCTTATGAAGAATATCGTTGTATCACCTTCACCTACACCATAAAAGCTATTCTTGTTGTCTCACACACATCAAATCAAATGGCTACATATTCTTACGATGTGAAATTCCTTTTCTTTCTCTTCTAAATTTCATTTTCCTCTGAACAACAAGAAACTGGAATTTCTTGTTTCGCAATGTCAAAAAAGAAGCCTTTTTTTTGTCCCACTATTCAAGCTAATTAGTTTCATCATATCAGTGTAAAGTAGAAATTAGATGTTTTTTTTTAGGTAAAAGAAATTAGATGTTTGGGTTTGGATTTATAGACTAATCACCCTGATATGATGAAAGAAGAAGATTTTCCACCATACCCTGCCGTTGTCAGTAATGAGGATTTCGACATGTGCATGCAAGAAAAGACTTCGCTTTCTTCTAATTGCGGGGGAGACTCAAGGACAGAGTCAAAGCAATTTATCGGTTCCAATTTCATCTATGGATTTTGATTTGGTGGAGATGCAATGCAAGCTAGAAAAATCAAAGCTTTTGATTACTATTCTGTTTGAATTTTCAAGATTTGATTTTAGTTGTCGTGGCTGTGGCTCTGGCAAGAGCAAAACAAAATGGACTGGCCATTTTCCTCACATTTGGTCTAGAAAGCACTGTTTTGAACTCCACTGCTGGTCAAATTTTCATATTCATTAACCCAAAATTTCCTCTTCCCCAACCTTTTAACATTGTCAAAGATTCAACAAGTCTGACTGTAATTAATTTGATGGGGATGGATTTAGAAAAAGTCTCTGCCGTTAACCTGCGTTAACCCTCCTCAGCTAGTATATATAGCACTACTCTGGATGGCTCATTGTTCATACACATAAGTAACGTACATCATATAACTAAGCTTTATGGAGGGGACCATGAGAGCTGTTTTACTTCTGATTAGGTTTCTAACTATTGCAACCATTACAGTCAGTATTGGTTTATGCAATGGAATTCTGGCTGGCCCTTGCAAAGAAGGTGAAAAACAAGCACTTCTGACTTTCAAGCAACATCTTAAAGACCCTGCAAATCGGCTTTCATCATGGGTTGGTGAAGAAGATTCCAACTGTTGCAATTGGACTGGAGTTGTCTGTGATAACTTAACGGGTCACGTACTCGAGCTCCACCTCGGTAATTCCAACTCCTTATTGAACTCCAACTCTTCCTTGGGTGGTAAGGTAAGTCGTTCTTTGCTCAGTCTAAAGCATCTGAACTACTTGGACTTAAGCAACAATGACTTTCAAGGAATACAGATTCCTAACTTCTTTGGTTCTCTTATAAGTTTAAGATATCTTAACCTCTCAAAAGCAGGGTTTGAAGGAATAATTCCTCATCAGCTGGGAAATCTCACCAGTCTACGCTACCTCTGTCTTGGTGATTACAACCTGAAGGTTGATAACCTTCAATGGGTTTCTGGTCTCTCTCATTTGGAACATCTGGACATGAGTTCTGCAGATCTTAGCAAAGCATCTGATTGGTTGCAAGTCACAAACGTGCTCCCCTCTTTGAAAGAGTTACATTTGTTTGGTTGTGGACTATATCACATTCCCACTCTACCTTCGATCAATTTCAATTCACTTGCCATCCTTGACCTTTCCGCTAACGTATTTACTTCTTCGATGCCTAAATGGGTATTCAGTCTTAGAAATCTAGTTTCTCTTTCCCTCAATAACTGTGGTTTCCAAGGTCCAATCCCAAGTAATCCACAAAATATCACATCTCTCAGGGAAATTGATTTCTCATGGAACAATCTTAGTCTTCCAATACCTACGTGGCTGTTTAACCACAAATACCTTACTTCTTTGAATCTAGGATACAATTATCTTGGAGGGACAATTCCAGATGGAATTGCAAATATGACTGGCCTTAAAGTTCTTAATCTCGAGACGAACCTCTTCACTTCTACCATACCTAAATGGTTGTACAGTTTTAGCAATCTTGAGTCCTTAATTCTTTCTGGCAATCACTTGCAGGGTGAAATTTTGAGCTCCATTGGAAACTTGACATCCATTGTTACTCTTCGCTTGAATGATAATCAGTTCGAAGGGAAGATCTCAAAGTCATTGGTAAAGCTATGTAAGTTGGTAGATCTTGATCTGTCAATGAACAACTTCACAGTTGGAAAGGCATCGGAAATCATTGAAAGCTTGTCCAGTGTGTGTCCTTCAGATCGAATAAAGTCTTTGTCGCTGAGGTATTGCAATCTTTCTGGTCATTTAACAGAGAAGATTAGAGATTTTAAAAACTTAAGCTACCTTGATCTTTCTGGTAATTCAATATCAGGTCCCATTCCAGTGTCCCTTGGAAATTTGTCATTCTTAGTATACTTAGACATCTCTGACAATCAATTCAATGGAACTCTTCCAGAAACTATTGGTCAGCTCAAAACGCTTACAAATTTGGATATATCTTACAATTCATTAGAAGGTGTGGTGTCTGAAGTTCATTTTACTTATCTTACAAGATTGGAGGAGTTCAGTGCCAAAGGAAACTCAATGACACTGAATACTAGTCGAAGTTGGCTTCCTCCTTTTCAACTCCAACAGTTGTACCTAGATTCTTGGCATTTGGGGCCTGAATTGCCTAACTGGCTTCAAGGACAAGCTCTGTTATGGACTCTAAGCCTGCCGAATACAGGAGTTTCAGGTATCGTACCGACTTGGTTTTGGAACTTATCTTCCCAATTAGTTTATTTGAATATCTCACACAATCAATTGTGTGGAGAGGTTCAAGATATGGTTGTTGGCCCTTCATTGGTAATTGACCTAGGTTCTAACCAGTTCAATGGTTCATTACCTTTGATTTCCTCCACAGTTCACATGCTAGATCTTTCCAATTCATCCTTTTCAGGATCTGTCTCCCACTTCTTCTGTGATAAGATGCACGAACCAAAACAACTCTTTCTTCTTCATCTAGGGAAAAATCTTCTCACTGGAAAAATTCCTGAATGCTGGATGAATTGGCAAAACTTGGCAGTTGTAAACTTCGAAGGCAACCATTTAATTGGGAACATTCCACACTCCATGGGGTACTTAGTAAACCTCAAATCGTTGCAGTTGCGAAATAATCACCTGTCCGGAGAATTACCTTCATCCCTACAGAACTGCACCAAGTTGTCAGTTGTTGACCTTGGTGGAAACAAGTTTGTCGGAAGCTTACCAATGTGGATAGGGAGCCTTTCAGATTTGCTAGTTCTGAACTTTCGTTCAAATAAGCTTCAAGGCAGCATTCCTTCTGAACTCTGTAATCTCATAAACCTCCAAATCTTGGACCTCACAGATAACAATCTTTCAGGAACAATACCAAGATGCTTCCACAAATTTAGTGCCATGACCACATTGTCGAAATCAAACAGTCCGAATATTTTGTTGTACGACATTTATTCTTATGGGAGGTACATAGTTGAAGCAATCTTGGTGACCAAAGGGAGAGAAGTCGAATACAGAGAAATTCTTGGATTGGTAACTAGCATAGATCTTTCCAACAACATTATATCCGGAGACATCCCTGAGGAACTGACCAGCCTCCTCCGTCTGCAAACACTGAATTTATCAGAAAATCTTTTGACTGGAAGAATTCCTTCAAACATTGGAAACATGACACGAGTAGAATCTCTTGACTTTTCCATGAACCAACTTGATGGTGAAATTCCTCAAAGCATGACGAGTTTGACATTTCTAAGTCACTTAAACTAGTCCCACAACAACTTGACAGGACGGATTCCAGAAAGCACTCAGCTTCAAAGCCTTAATGAGTCTAGCTTTGTTGGTAACAAACTTTGTGGTCCTCCGCTTGAAGAGAAGTGCGGTGCGAAAAGGGCAAGACCGGCAGCAGTTGAGCAGGACAGAGGATACAATATGGTTGAAGACAAGTGGTTCTATCTGAGCTTGGGATTAGGATTCATGTTCTAAGTCACTTAAACTTGTCCCACAACAACTTGACAGGACGGATTCCAGAAAGCACTCAGCTTCAAAGCCTTAATGAGTCTAGCTTTATTGGTAACAAACTTTGTGGTCCTCCGCTCGAAGAGAAGTGCGGTGCGAAAAGGGCGAGACCGGCAGCAGTTGAGCAAGACAGAGGATACAATCTGGTTGAAGACAAGTGGTTCTATCTGAGCTTGGGATTAGGATTCATGTTTGGTTTTTGGAGTTTCCTTAGTTTCTTGCTCGCTAACATGCCATGGAGCATTGTTTTTGTAAGATTCTTAAATAGGATAGTACAAAAGATTTATGGTGTAATTTGTTGAATAATTATTCTTTTGTTCCAAATGTTATCCTTTTGTTTGGTTTTGTAATATTTTTTTTTTTTCTTTTGGCCCTCATAAAATTGAAAAGAAAAAAATAATTATTTAGGACTTTGGGGAAATATTCCTTTCATTTGAAGTGCCCAAAAATCCGTTATACTAGGACTTCGGGGAGGGAAAAGATACAAATGACGTCAATAAAACCCGCCATGACGGTTCGGATAACAGCCTTTTGCGACTTTATGAGTTTCTTTGCTAATACCAACATGAACCATTAATGACATCATCATAAATTATAACAGTAAAATAAAAAGGCATACAGACAGTCTCCAATCCAAGCCCAGCGATCCTTCTCCCTCCATTGCAGCGTCTGCTTCTTCGCAGATGCCAAACCCTAAACCCAAACTCTCCTCTCCCCAACCACAACCACAATGTCGTCGTCGTCGTCGTCTCTCCCCAAAACCCCATCCTCTCCCCCCTCTCCGCCTCCCTTAGACAGCTCCGACGCCGACCGCCGCCTCCGAGAGGCCGAGGACCGCCTCCGCGATGCCATCGAGGAGCTCCAGCGCCGCCAGCGCTCCGCCGCAGCTCGTGGGCCCCAGCACCTCCCGCCTTGCGACCACGCCAGCGACGAGTCGTGTATCGCCCACGCCATTGGCAATCTCTGCCAGAGCTTTCTCTTGTCGTATGGCGTACGAGTCGGAATTGGCATCCTTCTTCGCGCTTTCAAGCTCGCCCGCAGACAGTCGTACTCTTCGCTCCTCGATCTCAAGGTATGGATTGGCAGTTTTTGTAATTACTCTGCATTTTCGTACCCGATTGTGTTCCTTCCTCTTGGAGGTGAACAGTGATAAGATTGGGTCCAAATTGTTCAATTAGCGACAGTGAATGTGGATTTCTCTTGCAAATTTCAGATAGGATACTTGTGAAGGATTGAAATTGTATGCTTTTGGAATGCCTATAGTCTATAGGTTGTTGAAATGGTAAATGATTGATTTTTGTTTCTTTTTTGTTTTACTACAGCAACTAGTCTCAGAAAAAGATCTCATTGTAAGAGAAGAAGCATGCCGAATCGGTTTATTTTTTGGTGGCTTTAGTGGTTCTTATCATGCTCTTAGATGCTTGTTGAGAAAGTGGAGAAAGAAAGAGACACCATTGAATGCGTGAGTTTTCTTCTTTATGTCTGTGTATGTGTTTCTGCGTATATGCATTGAAATGTTTTGAAACTGTTATTCCTTATGTATGACTTTGTTTAAGGGGATGATGGAGCAGAATTTTAGCAGGTTCAGTTGCTGGTTTGTCTATTTTAGCGTTAAATGACTCAAACCGAAGGCGCACACTTTCTATGTACTTATTGGCCAGGCTAGCCCAGGTAAATTAATGTATATTGTGATTGTATCTCTATAGTAGTTTTTCAAAAGTATGTGAATTGAGGTTTTTGTTGTTCTTTCCTATCTTTTGACATTTCTTTTCCGTCATCAGTGTGCTTATAATTCTGCGAAGTCTAAGAACAAGTTTCACTTTTGGGGAAGCCATTGGAGGCATGGGGATTCTCTACTTTTTTCAATTGCATGTGCACAGGTAACATTAGTCTCTGTTTTTTTGTTCATGTTTGCCACATCCTTCTCTCTCTCTCTCTCTCTCTCTCTCTCTCTCTCTCTCTCTCTCTCTCTCACATGCCGTCCAAGATTGTAATTATTTTAAAATTATGTTTCAGGTTATGTATGCTTTTGTAATGCGTCCTGAGAGCTTGCCAAAATCTTATCAAGAATTTATCCAGAAAACTGGGCCAGTTGCACAGCCTGTGTACAAGGCTATAAGGGAATGTTGTAGAGGTTACCCTGTGGATATTGCCTCACTATCTGATTATTTGTCTGAGAGAACGAAATCTGACTCTATAAAGTTGGAAGAGTATCCATCCATATTTCCTTGTTCTGTTATTCATCCAGACGCAAATTCTTGTTTAGCTCACAATGCAATTGCAACATCAGCTACCTTTAGGAAAACGTTTCCACTTTACTTCTCTTTGACATTTGTACCATTCGTTGTTCTCCGCCTGCAGAAGGTAAATTTTTCGAACTTGTTATTTATTTCATTTTTCTATATGATTTTGCTTCTTTAACAATGACTGTCTGAGATGCTGCAATTACCTATCAGTTGCATTTGACCATGATATTGGATTTATTGCCATGCATGCACAATATCTTTTTCTTATATTTGTGCAATGGATATAATCTACTAAATGTTTCTCCTGGATTGCACTCTTTAGTCATGATTTCTTTTCATTGCTGATATTTGTATTATGTGGATTGCCAAGCCTTTTTACTTGTTTTTAGGGGTGAGAATTTTTGTTAATCTGGAGATTGTTGTAAACAAAAGAGGATAGTTAGGGAGCTGAATGTATGCTTCCTCGGTTTTCTTTTCTTTTTTGTTTTTAAGAAGTCTCTTTATATTAATTTTTCAACTTTATGCCCTTTAGTTCATGGAGGCCCCTGCTCGTACCTTTTTGGTTGCTCTTAAAGATGCTGTTCGCTCAACAACATTTTTGTCTGCTTTCGTTGGGATCTTTCAGGTAGCTTTTTTTCTTTTTTCTTTTTCTTTTTTTTTCTTGTTTTGTACTTTTCCCTACCTGTATAATCTTCATGGCTACATTTTAATGTTTCTCTTTTGGTGCTAGGGTGTCATATGTTTGCATAGAAAAGTTGCATCAAAGGACCACAAGCTTCTATATTGGATTGCTGGTGGAATATCTGCTCTTTCTGTTTTACTGGAGAAAAAGGCTAGACGTGGTGAACTTGCTCTTTATGTTCTTCCGCGAGCAGGAGATTCTTTGTGGTATATCTTAGTAAATCGCCACCTGCTTCCAGATATTAAAAATGCTGAGGTACTATTTTATTACCATGCCACTTATCCCTCAACTTTGATCTTCTACTCGCCGGTGAGAAAGAGATGTTATTTCACTAACCCTTGGATCAAAATTTAAGTTTTGATATTTACTTCTTTTTTCTTTCTTGTTGAATTTTGATTAAAAAAGTAATTGCTTTATACTGGAAGGAAAGATAACTGAAAGTAGGTAATTCTTTTTTGAATGGTTACAGGTGTTTTTGTTTTGTTTATCTATGGGAGGAATCATGTACTACTTGGAACATGAGCCAGACACTATGGCTCCATTTCTCAGGGGTCTGATCCGTCGGTTCCTTGCTAGCAGAATAAGCAACCCTGTCTCTGCGTCCAATAGGAGTTCCTCCTACACATATTTGCAGAGTCTTGATGCCATGAAGAAGCCGAAGCCCTTAGATAGTCGTCGTACTGAATCACCTTCCGAGAAGTATAATCTTGAATCAATACCGGGGCTGTGAAGGGTTGAGGTGGAGACTCTCCTGCTCCCAATTTTTTTTTCCTGGGAGTTTCAATAAATAATATGTATTGGGACTCGACAATGTTAAAATTTTCTCTTGTTAGCTTTACAAAGGAAAAAAAAGAAGCAAGTATTTCATTTTTTGTCTCATTTTCTGTATGGTTTTTTGTATAGAGTTGAAGTTGTGCATTGATGTACTTGATTTTGAAGACAAGAACTACAATGGAAGGCAGTTGCCAATTTTTTTTATAGCAGATATATACCATTCCATGTTTGTTTCCAATTTCTAACCTTTGACCCTGTTGAGAAGACACCAATATTGTAGGATACACGCAACAGGGAATTCTAACCCAAATTATTTCAACGGTCCACCTGAACTATTTTAGTTTTGATCATCAATAAATTAATGATTATACAAGGAAATTCTAACCCATATTATTTATTCAATTCAATGGCCCTGCTACGTGTCTACTCTGATCCAAGGATTTGTATCTATGAAAGTGCATCCCTTGGTTATTGTCTCGGGAAGAACTCACTACATCGAGCTTAAGAGAACCCACAAGAATGGATATAAGACTGTTTGAGGCATCTCATACAGGAGATGTTCAACTCTTGCACCAACTGCTTGCAGAGAATCCACTTCTACTCCATAGCCTTGCGCTAGCTTCCACAGAGAACCCCTTACACGTTGCTTCGATTGCCGGCCATGTTGACTTTGTTAAGGAGATTGTGAGGTTGAAACCAGCTTTTGTGAAAGAACTCAACCAGGAGGGTTTTAGCCCCATGCACATCTCATCCGCCAATGGGTATTTTGAGATTGTAAGGGAGCTGCTGAAAGTTGACCCGATACTGTGCCGGCTAAATGGAAGAGATCAGTGGACTCCTCTTCATTATGCAGCTGCCAGAGGAAGGGTAGATGTTGTTGGAGAAATGGTTTTGGCTTGTCCTGAAAGTGTTGAAGATGTGACCATACAAGGGGAGACTGCCTTGCACCTTGCTGTTAAGAACAGCCAGTTTGAAGCAATTAAAGTTGTGGTGGAATTGGCCATACAACTGAGGAAGGTGAACGTCCTGAATATGAACGATAAGCATGGCAACACAGCTCTTCACCTAGCAACTTGGAAGAAACAACACCAGGTAAAGTACAATAATTTAGGTTTCCATTACGAACCGACCTTCCCTCTGAAACAGAGTGCAGGCATTCAAGATGAATGATTAACCATGGAGTGCTTGCGTGTGAGCTTTGCCCCCCTGAAAGTTAATGTTGACTTTATTATTTTTACTAAGGTATACAAGTTGTTTCATAAATTTTGATCACAATCCAACCTAGAAAGAGGCGACTTATCAACTTATTTCAAAGGAAACAAAGATAAAAGGTGGAGTAGAACTTGTTTGATACTGCAAATGCCCAAATTATTAGTCAATCTTACAGATTACAGGCAAAATTCAAAATCTTAAGAAAAAAAATCTAATGAAGTAGAAATTTCACAGGTGGTGGAATGGTTAGTTGGCATAAATGGAACAACACCAGGTGCGTTGGAAATAAACAATGTAAACCAGAGCGGTCTCACACCTCTTGATCTGCTGCTAATCTTCCCAAGTGAAGCCGGTGATGGGGAAATCCATGAGACCCTTTGCCGTGCTGGAAGTTCAAGAGCACAAGACATAGCCCGTTCTGCTGTTCCTTCATTTGACTCTCATACCCTCTCACATTGCCCCATGGCATCAGAGACCCCTCAACTGCAGCAGTCAAATAACTTGATGGAATACTTCAAGTTCAAAAAGGGCAGAGACTCTCCTAGCGATGCGCGTACCGCGCTGCTAGTCGTGGCAGTACTGGTAGCCACAGCAACCTTCCAAGTTGGGCTCAGCCCTCCAAATGGTGTTTGGCAGGACAATGCTGGCTTGACCAAGAATGGGACTGGCAGTGCTGAACCAGCACAGTTAGCAGGGAAGTCCATCTTGGGTTCTTATAATGCAGTTGCATTTGTCGTCTTGGTATCTTTCAACTCAATCGGGTTTTCGGTTTCCCTTTACATGATCAACGTCCTCACTAGTAATTTCCCTCTGCAGTTGGAGCTTCAAATCTGCATCCTTGCAATGTACGGCACCTACAACACTGCAATGATGAGCATTGCACCAGATAACACAAGGGTCTTCATCATTGTGTTAACATCAGTTTTGCCTAGTTTGGTATCAGTTGCTGCCAAATTGACTAGGCACTTTTTCATGAGGCTCAGAGAATTTCTAGCAAATTGAATGCTTAGGCTTCATATGAATTAGTCTTCTGATAAACTTAACTCTTGGAACACCATTTTTTCCACCGTCATTACCAATTAACGATGAACAACGACCTGTGATGGCGATTGTATCATCTTGTAACGCTGCAATTATTTGTAAAATGTTATTTTTCTTTGTTCTAAGACTCTTATCACTATTCTCTGATAAAAATAAACAAACTTTGATCAGTAGTTTTCTTGTAGAAGATACATATCATTCTCAATATTTACTTCTACTTTCCAAGCGTTGACCCTGATGCAGTTCAGATGTTCCACCATATGAAAACAGAAAATTCCAACTCAGATTATTCTAAGGTCATCCTGAATGATTATAGTTATCTCATCAATAGATTAAGAATTTACATGACTAGAGTTCTGACAACTGCTCTGCTACGTGTCTGATCCTAGGTTTTGTACCTTAAGGCACAGGTTATGTTTTATCTGGTGAAGAACTCTTTAACCTTGATAGATTAAGCAATGCATTTGAATCTTGAGTCACAAGCTATTCTTCATCCAGTGAAGAACTCATTCACCTAAGCAGGCATATATAGTGACTTCAATAGAGATGAGGTGCTTAACGATTAACATTACCCGCCACAATGGATATAAGGCTGTTTGAGGCTTCTCGAACAGGAGATATCCAACTTTTGTACCAACTTCTGGCGAAGAATCCACTTCTGCTCCATACTCTTGCCCTAGCTTCTTTAGAGAATCCCTTACATGTGGCTTGCATTGCTGGCCATGTTGACTTTGTCAAGGAGATTGTGAGGTTCAAGCCAGATTTTGCCCAAGAAATTAACAATGATGGGTTTAGCCCCATGCATATTGCATTTGCATCTGCCAATGGGTATTTGGAGATTTAAGGGAGCTGCTGAAAGTTGACCCCCGACTCTCTCAGCTAAAAGGAAGGGATGAATGGAATCCTCTTCATTATGCTTCTAGCAGAGGGAGGGTAGATGTTGTTGTTGAAATGGTTTTAACTTGCCCAGAAGTGTTGAAGATGTAACCGTACAAGGGGAGACTAGTTTGCACCTTGCTGTTGAGCACAGCCAGTTTGTAGCAATTAAAGCCTCGGTGGAGTTGGTCAGAGAATTGAACAAGGTGAACATCCTGAATATGAAGGATAATAATGGCAATTCAGTTCATCTAGCAGGCTGGAAACACCAGGTAAAGTACAATCTGATCAGTCGTTTTGCCTTACAGACCTTCCTCTGAAACTGATCGCACTCAAGATGAATGATTTTTCATGGAGTGCTTGCGTGTGAGCTTTGTCACCCTTAAAGCTAATGTTGACATCATTATTTTACTAAGATGTACAGAGTGGTTTCGTAAATTTTGACCAAAATCCAACCCAGAAAGAGGTGACTCTGACTCACCAACATATTTCTATGGAAACAAAGATAAAAAGAAGAGTATAACTTGTTTGATACTGCAAATGCCTAAATTATCAACCAAACTTACAGAATTCATAATCTTAAGAAAAAATCTAATCACAGGTGGTGGAATGGTTAGTTGGCATTAATGGAACTACTCCAGGTGCATTGGAAGTAAACAATGTAAACCAAAGTGGTCTCACACCTCTTGATCTGCTGCTAATCTTCCCAAGTGAAGCCGGTGATATGGAAATCCACTAGACCCTTCGTGGTGCTGGTGCTGGAGGGCTGTCATTATTTTTCATTTTTCATTTCCGTTCATGTATGTAATTACTTGGCTCATTTCAAATTGAATAATATAATTGAATTTACTTTAAACTTTATTTGTTATTTCTTTTATAAATTTACAAGAGGAAAGAGAATTTTAAAACCGTGATATATAGGTGAGAACGCAAACAACAATAGGTTGCACTTGGCACAAGTCACCTGAACGAAAACTGAAAAAGTCAAAAATATCCTCGTTCTAGTTCGTTGACTAGTGGGGTATGAAAACGACTTTATGCATTCTTTGTATTCGCAAATTCTGCCCAAGGTTATTCTTATTGGTTGTAAGAAGGAATTCCTGCTCAATTTTAAAGAGTCAAGATTTTTCCTTGTTTAAAATCTCTCAAGTCTTGACGGTTGGTGATTGCTCGTTAGGAAAATATTGTCATGATATGAAAAGATAAATACAGTAGAGTGAAATGAGTGGCCAAATAACATATTGGGTCATCAAGATAATATTTATAATTAATAATAATTCGTACTAGTAGTAGGAGGTGATGGTCATGTCCATGCATCTACGAAGACCATCGTCATAACAAAGTTTAAATTGATCCGGATTAGCAAAAATCCATCTTTTGTGCTCCTCGCAATTCTTCTTTTCAACTGCGTCTATTTCAAATATATAAGGCATATCTGCTGGTGTTGAAGGACGAGGAACCCTAGCTTCGTTTCGATATTTCTTCACAATGTCCTCAGGATTATAAGCTATGTATAACAAAACGGATGTTAGCCAAACCACATTGAGGAATAGGATAGAAAGCTCCTAGTTATTGCATATTGCTTGCACACACCAGAATTGAAATTTGAGGGTGTGTATGTAAAGCTCCTAGTTAATTATTTTGTTAACACTTAACATCAGTTTTGTCACAATAATTAATTACTCCATTTTATGCCCAAGTGTGCGAGAAGATTCGGGAAAAGAAAACATGAATAAGAAAGAATCTTATTAGGCTTATATTATATGGCCTTACACCTTATAGAAAGAGGCGAAGCATTTTTCATAAATATATTGATAACAACGCTCGTATCGATTAGGATCATGGCTAAACCATACTCTGCAATGCCTATGTGCCTTGAGTTTGCAACTTGTAATAGGAGGACAAGCAAGAGGATCATAGCGGAGTGGTGGGTGGAGAGGACCTAGACATGCATGCATTCAGACGTCGGAAAAAGAGAAGGGGAAGATGAGGAAGTGGACGAGGAGGTAGGGCTGTGAATATGAATGGTCAGCTGAACAAACACTAGGGCAAGCAAAAACAAGAACATGCTCATCACCACAAGGCGAAGAGCAAATTTGTTCATCATGTCATTTTCTTCCATTGCTCCCCTAATTCTTTAATTTTTGCTTCATAAATTGAACTCCTTTTATGTGAAAGCCAATTTATAACCCCCCAACCTTCTATCTATTTCAATTTTTTCATCTTTAAATTAAGTTTTCGTCTATATAGATTATATAGCAAAGTTTAACTATATATTAAAATAGCAGCCAAGAGATGCTTAGAAGTGACGGCCTTTTGGAACCATTTTGATATGGGTACAATTTCTGTCATGGGCCATAACAGAGCATTTTATTTACTATTAACGATATGTGGTGAACACATATTAACAGCGAACAAATGACATTATTATTTATTACAATAAACAGGAAATAAATTACAAGATAAGATGGTATTTACAATAAACACGAGTCAGGACAGAAACTTTAACAAAATATGATCACCATTATTCTCGTTAAGAAACATGATCACCTTTCCAGAGACATCAAAACGACCATCTTTATTCACAATGACTTGTACTGCTCAATCAAGCGAGAAGCATGGAGGCGCGATGTAGGAGCCACGGTGCAGCCCAGATTTTGCAGATAAGAAATCTGATCATCAAATATGAGAAAGGATTTAGAATTTGGTCTCCTGACCATCCTAGAATCAACTTAAAAGCTCGACTGAAGTGTTTAACAAGGGACTAATTTAATGGTGAGTGTTAGCTACCTGTTTTGATGTTGGTGCAGACGAACCCATTGAGTTCTCGATCCTTAACTTCTGGAAATGCTCCTGAAAGCATGTGTTGAATTACAACAACGACAACTAAATATGATTTAGGGACAATGTATGACAGAGCAAACTATCTTAAACTAAAACCTAACCTGTTTTTCCCGCATCAAATGAGCACGTTGATCAGCAGGTATTTTCTGCCATCTCAAAACCTGTGACAAAAAGGTATAATTCTGATATGAAGCTGTGCACAGATCTATTGAATTCAAATATTGATGACAAAGAAAGCTAAATTTATACATTCTTTTGTTTAATTTCAGAAAAAAATTTCTTCAACAAATTGGTAAGTTCAAGTATCTTACATATTGCACATAATGAAATGCATCGTCACATTTCAGGCAAGACTTCAGCAAGCGCAAAACATCCTGAGAGTTGCATAGGAGTTAATAAGTGATATAACAAAGTAGATACATCACAAGGGTATACACAAAGTATGCAAACAAAAACGAAGTGAGCTAAAAAACAGAGGTAGAATAGTCATTTTATTGAAATTTAAAGGACTAAATTTATAACCTTGTGTTTATAGTTCTTGGCTCGTAGGCGTTCATCTATTACAAAACCAACCTGTTAAAGGTACAATTAAGCATCACCATTCACATGGACTCCAATTAAAAGTTAGAAAGTCTATAGTCAAAACAGTGTAATTCTCATCTACCTTGTCAAGCAACCTCTTAGGATCTTGAAATGCTTGCTTCTTAGACCACTCATTAAATAAATGTGAGACAATCGATCTTTCATCCACACTGAATCTATTAGACAGTGACAGAAGAATAAAGTTAGGCATTATTATAAGCAACCAAAAATGCTCTACCCATCAAAATTGGGAGCAAAACCTTTTTAAGAAACCATTTCCACTATTTCCCTCTGCAAATTCTATCAACTCTGCTGAAGCTTCATCAAATTTACTATGATGAAAATCATTTTGTACTGAATCTACTTCAGAAGGTTGGACGTTTGGTTGTAGATCAGCTGTAGACAGAGTAGTTCCTTTTGAAGTGTCAGGATTCTTTGATTGCAAGTCTTGTGTACTTATGTCAGCCTACAAACCAAAAATTTCATTCATCCACACCAGACTCAAGATGATATAGCATTATGGCAAGTACAATTAAAGCACTTCGACATGCAAACTCAAACATTGATGTAAAAAAAGTAGTTAAAAGACTAAGATTTCTCATTGCAAGGCGCCAGTCTCAGCAGCAAGTAAACATCAGTTGATTTTAATTGCAAACATTGCAACACTTATTTGTGATTCTTTGTTACTTGTAAGTTTGACTAGACGTCAGAACAATTAAGGATAATGAACAGTAAAACACACCTGGACTTCTCGAAGATGATTTGGAATTTCTTTGAGAAAACGCGAAGGTTGAAGCATCTGAAGGAGTCACCTTATTAGTCAAAGCATAACAAGAAAGAAGGGAAAAATAAAACTAAAACAAACCTGCCAATTGGAATCCATCGTTACATAAAGAATGAAAAGCTTTCTCCGAGCACGAGTCATTGCAACATATAACAGGCGTCTCTCCTCCTATGATTTAGAGTGGAATCATTGAGTACGACAATACAAAATTTGTGTGTAACGAAAATGTTGAAATATTTAGTGCATACCTCAATGGAGGTCCCATTTTCTTTTGCAACCCCATTGAATTCATGCAACAACGGAATCTCAGATTCATTTACCTGTGTTATTGATATGAGCATTAAAGCAAAGCTAATATGATTTTGAAGAGATTGTAATATCTTCATGAATATAAGGGTACAGAAATATCAGTTAGGTATAGCATCAGCATATCTAAGAACAAAAAACAGATCAACTATAAAAAACTGAATGAACGAATGAAGTGACAACGAGAAAATCATTATGCAGGGCAAGTACCTTAATTATAAAAACAATATCCCACTCTAAACCTTTTGACTGCAAGAGAAGGAAAGAGAAAGGCAGTAAGCCAAGAATATTTGCAGAACTCCAGAGGAATACCAATAGCAAAATGTTCACAAATATAAGAACTTTGGTTCTTAAGCTGATGGATGGTAGTCAAGGGAAATATCAACAAGATCTACCTGATGGATGGTAGTCAAGGTGACAGAACTCTGGTTTTCATGTCTTCGGGAACGAAAATTTTCGCTCTCCCGCTCAGATATGCAGTCAATGAAAGCTTTGAGTAAACTAACACAACCTTTTTCTTTTACAACTTCTCTATCCCCTTGTCCCGCAACAAAATGAGTTGATAAGAAATCAGATATGTCATCTAGTAGGTACTGAAGAACCTGCAGTGAGAATAATCGCATCACAACCACACAGATGGACCAAGATTTATATGGGAACAAAGATTAATTTAACTTGAACAAAAATAGAAATTAAGTTCTCACAATCATTATGTAATTGACCTCTGTTACCATCAGCATAAAACACCAAACTTACAGATCTCACATCATTGTCTTCATTTAGCAATTTTCCTCCATCAACATCGACGACCGCACGTTGCTCAAGAAGGTACTTCTAAGAATTGAAAGTCAAACGAGAAATTATTAATGAAACATTGAATATAAGCATAAACACAGAAAATGGTATAGAATGGTGCTCCTCATTCCTAAAAGTTAATAAGGAAACAATTCGATTAAAAAAACCATGTCAACGGTGCAAAATGGAAGACGAACCTGTGGTACCATGTTCGCCACTGAAGTTATGACAGCCGAAATCGATTGTTCCTGTATGCATCGATAAGTGAGACTACTACGTAAATTTACAACTAAAGTTAATGACTAAATGCCACATTTATCTCATTATAAGAAGACAGAGACTACGAGAACAAACTTTACCTCTTTGGAAACACATAGATCTAACAGAGGCTATAAAACTTTGCATTATATATTGAAAGAATTAAGAAC